AAAAAAGTCTGGAAAAGAAACTTATGTTTTAATTCAAGTAAATTCCTTGTGGTGTTTGGGGCGGTCTGGTAGCCTAGTGGTTAAAGCGTTAGCTCGTCACGCCGAAGACCCCGGTTCGATTCCCGACATGGGTACAATGAAGGCCATTTGTGGTGTCCCCCGCTGTGATATTGGTGGAATATTGCTAAAAGCAGCGTAAAACCATACTCACGCACTCACTCCTTGTGTTTATTAAAACCGCCACTGGTTGATGGTGTAATGGTCCCTCTGTTGCCCGGGTTGTTGCTCATACTATCAACCACTGGTTCGTCTGTTCGGGATTCGATTTGTACAGGGCCGCGTTCACGTTGCGTTTGTATGTCGGGTTTATGTCAGTTTACTGTCTGTGTGTCGGGTGTATGTGTGTCCAAATCATATTTATTACTCGACGATACTTCTTTGCCTTAGACCGCCTCCGTGGTCTTGTGGTAGAGCGTCCGCCCGGAGAGCGGAAGGTCCAGGGTTCGATCCCGGGCCGCGTCATACAAAAAGACGTTAAAAGATTGTACTTGTTGTTACCCTGTCTGGCGCTCGGCATTAAGGGGCTAAAACAAGGACTGGTCGTCTCGGAGTCAGTATACTGTGTCTGAGTGGGGTATTCATGTTAAACTGCGGCATGGTATCTCAGTGAGCTAGCACTATAAATCGGCATCAGTCCGGACCAGTACAAGCAGCCACACAAACACACACACATACATGGACGTCGCTATATAAGTGCAATAATCTTGGACGCGACGTTAAACCCAATTTCACCTCACCTCACCTCTTTGCCTTAAGATCTGACGGCACCTCCACCGGAGTCAGGTGAGCTTTCAAATCAGCCAATCAGCGTCGTGGCCCATCTGATGTATGTATCTCGAAAACAAAATTAAAAAGACAGCGCCTATATTGTTGAAGATATATTACACACGTCGTTTCTGAGCGCCATGAAATCTAAACGAGAATTCCGATGAGAATTGATTGGTTACAGTTTGTGACCCGGTTATTAGTGTGTGCTCATGCTATTAGCCCCTAGTTTGCGTGACCCAGAATTAGTTATGTATTATAACCATCTACAATCTATTGCTTGAATATTGCGGACTGCCCTAACGGAAGATCTAAGCCATGTCATGAGGGCGTGCGGCACACCTCTTGGAGGTACTTAGTTGGATTGTCTTATCTCCGGACTTGACCCGACTTCCATTGAATATTTTTGGGAGATATGTACCGCCAAAAACATGTCTATATTTGGGAATAAGAGGGATAGTGCCACACGACGACCTGAATAACTGCGATATATTCCTAATATGGTTGTACAATATGTCCGCCACAAAGCGATCATTGCGCCACGACTCCATTGCATGCGTAACACAGGTTTAACGAAAAGATCACTTGAGACGGGATCCTGGACATTAGACCCGGGGCTTTGTCAACGGGATCATGGACACAACAATTAAAATCACATGATATGAATTCCACACTTGTTTACGTGTGTATTCCTATTTTTCGAAAGTCCGAACGCTTTGTCAGAAACAAGTTTCTTATATATAACCATAAATTCCTGAGAAGTATACGAATTCGAAACTAGTTTACTCGAGTTGTAAAAAAAGTCAAAACGATTATTCAAAACAAAGCTTTTGCCATAAGTTCCTGAGAAATGTACGGCCACGAGAATAATGTAACAAGCAGAACTTCAGGTGTACATGGGGGTCGTCAAGTTTATCACCGAGATAAACTGGTGGGTCATGGAGCAAGTGAACGATCGTGGAATACCGATAGCGACATACGTGGCTATAGATAAACTCAATTATGTCGGCAATCAGAGCATGAACACCTGGCTGAGGGTGTAGGGGTATCTGAGTATCGTCGTCTGAGTCGAGGTGTATGGGGGAGACGGGGCGCGTCGACCCCGGTGTTGTCTGACGGATGACGCGGCGAATCGTGTGTCGCGTCTGTGTCATGATGGTGTGTAGACTGTTGCCAGGCACACATGGTTTGTGTGTGTGCTCACATCTCGCCAGAATCGAAACTATTAAAATAAAGTTATATTTATTTTAAGAAATGCTGTAACTTCTGAAATATTATGAGACAATTTGAGGTATGGCACGGCTCTCCGAGTCGTCAAAGGCGCTGAAATTCCCCTTGTAGAGTTGTCGTGATCCGATGACTGCAGGTTCGAATCCCATATTTGTCCTGATTATAATCATTTGTTCCTCAGCCCCATTATATAAAATTAATCGTCTAAGAACTGCATCACCCCGGGTTTTCCGCCTTCATATGGATGACACACTCCTTAAAAATATTGTTGGAATTGAACTACTGTTCTCAAAGCGGCTTAAAACATTTCTCACTCAATATAATCTGAATTCGTTGTATTCGACCAGGCCCCGGAAACTAAACCTTTTTTGTCTCACATAGCTTTTAACACATCACGGTATTGTCTGTATGCCATGTCACCAGCGTAAAGTTCAACAGAGATCTGGTATTTGCTGACATACAGCATTACATCATGTCAAGGCTTGTCAAAAAAAGAAAATGGCGGCAGGGTCGCCTTGTTGTTAAAGCGTTTGCTCGTCACGCCGAAGGCCCGGGGTTCGATTCCCCACATGGGTACAATGTGTGAAGTCCCTTTCTGGTGTCCCCACCGTGATATTGCTGGAATATTGCTAAAAGCAGCATAAAAGCAAAGTTTTAACACATTTACTTGCTCAAATAAGAAAAAGGAAAACAGAAGCAAACACCAACCGCTCTATTTCTGTTTGGACTGATTTTGGAGACACGCGTTGTTCTTGGCCTATTAGTCCAAACGATAAGGATCCGCCTTCGTGGTGTAGTGGATACAGCGTCTGCCCTGAGAGAGGAAGTTCGGTGGTTCGATCCCCTGGTCGCCATAAGAAAAGAGGGCTGTACGGCTCGGAGGCAGTATACTGTGTCTGAGTGGGGTATCCATGTTAAACTGCGGCATGGTATCTCAGTGGACTAGCACTATAAAATAAGCATTAGTCCGGACTAATACAAGCACACGCGCACGCATGCACGTCGCTACATGAATGAAATTGTCCAGAACGCGTGAAGGTCAATTTCACTTTATCACGCCTCCAATTATAACCTAACACGCCATGCTATTAATAATTAAAATGCGGTTCAAAGCTACATTCAAATTGAATTAAACAAAATTTAATGTTGCTTTACACGGATGCAAAACAATCGGATCCAGCGATATATTTTTATAACAATTAATCTTGATTTTATGTACCTAGGGATATTTTTGGAAACGGGGACTGGTCCCAGTCTATATAGCTGTGTTCTAATTTATGTCCCGACAACGACAAGTGTGTTGTCACATGGGGTGTTAATATTTTCTGCCACCTGCCATAACATTTCTGCCGACGTCTCGCTGGGCGGGCTGCACGAGACAGAACAGCTGATTCATGTGCGCACGGCTTTGTTTGTTTTTGTTTACCACTGCTATCAGTGTCTGGACTGGACCAGACAATGATTGACATCATGAGCATCGATCCCCGCAATTAGATACGATGACATGCATCAACCAAGTCAGCGAGCGATCCCATTAGTCTCCTCTTACGACAAGCTTGGGTTGCTGAAGACCAATTCTAACCCGCATCTTCACGGGGCCCATCTTTAAATTATGTAGTGGGACGATGGGGTGGGTTTTTTCGATTCCCACATGTGTAGTGGTATTCTCCGCCACCGTTTTTTTTTTACCAGTATGATAACGTCCGATATCAATAACTTATCTCGGTTCAATAGCGTGTACCAATAACATGACCATCTCCGTACCAGGGCGTGCTGAGTATGTTGTCGATAACGCGTCTATGTCCAAAATAGTGTCTAGATATGTCAACACGCTTGTACATGCACGTTCAGTTGTTGTGAGATATGCGATGTTGCATTGCCAAGGTCGATATCATATTGGTCTGAAAGCTGGAAATAGTTTTAGAAGGATTGCCAATTGGTAGGACTGGAGTTAAACTCCGTGAATTTACTTATTCCTTTCTTTACACAAGTGCAGCTTGAGTGGGAGAGTGACAATGGTTCTGCTCCACTTTTAGCCTTACAGCAATATCACTGGTTGGGCCATTTGTAACCTTAGTTGGGGTGGGGGGTGGGAGTGTGTGTGTGTGTGTGTGGGGGGGGGGGGGGGGGGGGGGGATAAGAAACCGGTATTAATTTTACTTTAACAACCAATTCACCATTTTCTCATGGTAGGATTTCTGTTTACAAATAAGTAGGGGTGGGGTGTTTGGGAGTGGGGTGGGGAGGGGTTTCCACCACTGCGTTCAAACATTGTACCTATGTGAGGAATCACTAGGCTACCCCACCGCCAGCAAAATACAGCTTGACGTTTACTGATGGAATTGAATAAGGGAAAGACCCGTGAAGATCCGGGGTAGAATGGGTCTTCAGCAACTCATGCTTGCGGTAAAAGGCGACTATGCTTGTTGTAAGAGACGACTAACGGGATCGGGTGGTCAGGCTCGCTGACTTGATTGATGCATGGATCGATGCTCATGATATCAATCACTGGATTGTCTGGTCTAGACTCGATTATTTACAGACAGCCGTCATACAGCTGGAATATTGCTGAGTGCGGCGTTAAACAACAAACAAACAAACGAATAAGGGAAATTAGTTTTAGATGGGTTCCGAGCCTTGTCTACCAAATACGTTTCGGAAACAATGCACACAAACACAAATCAAGATTTGATTCCGACATGCTTTGAATTTTGTATGCGCGACAATGTACCGACAGTAAAGCATATTTCCCTGTATTTTTCATTGTTCCCTTATTCGTTTACATCAGTATATTTACAACATTTAGAGTTTTACAATAACATGTCCACACGGTCCCGTCAGATATTACCTGGGTACAATTCCCTACATGGGTACGGTGTGGAGCAGTAGTTTTACAAAATGTCTGCTTATTTTCCTGTGAATAAATTCCTACTTCTTCTCCCCAGTATTCTGAGGTGATGGTCACCTACATGGGTATATTTGACGGCCACGCGGGGACGGGGGCGGCACTGACGGCATCTCATCTGCTGGAGACACACCTACAGGTGAGACATCGCCAGCGACATCGTAGAAACCAACTCGAGCCAATCCCACAAAGCTAAGGAAGCATGTTTGTTGGTTGGTTTGTTGTTTAACGCCGCACTCAGCAATATTCCAGCTTTATAACGGCGGTCTGTAAATAATCGAGTCTAGACCAGACAATCCAGTGATTGACATCATGATCATCGATCCGTGCAATTGGGATCGATGACATGCATCAACCTAGTCAGCGAGCCTGACCACCCGATCCCGTTAGTCGCCTCTTGCGACAAGCACAGTCAACTTTTACGGCAAGCATGGGTTGCTGAAGACCTATTCTACCCCGGATCGTCACGGGTCCTCTATATTAATGGGGCGGTTAGGCAGCCTAATGGTTACAGCGTCAAACCGACGAGCTAAAAACGGCGTAAAACACTACTCACTCGGAAATAATTGTGATGATTATTAATTAATACTGATATGTACAATGTGGCTTTACAGATTAATATGTTTACTAAAAGTGTAAACAACATACCAGATGTCAGAATTTGCCTGAAAGAGACAGTTACACCCGACATTTTATTTCCTTATTTAGTTAAATTTACCTCTGTCGCTTTCGAGAATAAGCAGGATTTCAAACTGACACGGAAGGAAACAAATGAATTGTTTTTAGCCTGACTGTTGTTGAAGTAGTATATGTGAGTTACATTGGTTGTGGTAACTATGGTAACTTAATTCCGTTTTCCAGGAGAAGCTGACCGAGGTGAGAGAAAGTCTGCTGGAACTTGGCGACGGGGAGATCGTGACGTCATTGTACCCAGCCATCACTGCCGACAGTCTCATCATTGGCGCCATGGAGGCTGCGTTCTGCTCGCTGGTGAGGCCCGAACATAGGCATGCTTCACAAGTCAACACAGTAGCATTTGAAACGGGTTTATACAATTTATTCAGGGATTTTAGCTTGTAGGAACTTAAATACATCAATTTTCGTCAATTTTGTCAATACGTGCAATTCATAAACTACTTTGATGGGGACGGGTGACAATTGCATAGAGTCTGTTTGTTGTATTGTAACAATAGGATATGGCTTAAAGTGGTCGAAACTAAATTAGACTTTTGATTAGAAATCGGATGAAACAGTTTTAGTTTGGCGGGTCTTCGTGTAACGACATCAATGTCTGTTGTCCTTGACCTTGCAGGATGAACAGATGGCAAGGGAGAGAACTACGTACGCCATTCGCGGTGGGTGCACATCTCTCGTGGCCATGTTTCTCCTCGATACTTTATACGTGGCGAATGCAGGAGATTGCAGGTTAGTATAAACAGGATGGCTTGGAAGCTAGCATGTGTAATTGCACATTGGTCACGAGGGTACGGGTGGCCCAGCTCTCCGAGGCTGTGCAGAGTTGCTTCCCTTGTTCGTGGCAGAAACCTATGATTAGGGTTCGAATCCCAGATTCGCCCTGATTTCTAGGTTTGTAAGCATCATACCCGTGCTCGTGGGTTTCCAGACCTGGGCCCCGTTCCTCAAAGCGATCTTAGTGCTACGTTGATCGTAAGCCTATGTTAAAGTATGGGACTTACGATCACCTTAGTGCTAAGATCGCTTTGAGGAACGGGCCCCCTGAATCATTTCGGCTTTCCTCACACATCAAGCTGACACGCCGTGATATAACGGGAATACTGTTCGGAGACTCACAACCCAACTCACACAAACATTGATCGGGACTGGTGCAACAAAAACAGTGTGAAATTGATCCATTGAGTCCATTGATTATAAAACGATGATTTATATTAAGACATCTAATATAACATATGTCAAATGTGACCTTCGTAATGAATTAATATTATGTGCGTGGGTTCAGTTATAGGTTTGATGTTAACATATGCTAAAACAATTTATTAACATCTTGAATTTTCATTACTTTTCACAGGACTCCACTGATGCCAATTTTCAGAATGTGTGTAAGACTAGGAGTTGTAATTAGTGCTGGAGACATTAAGGGCAAGTCTTACATGTGATCTAGTCGTGCAGAGTTGCGTCCCTTAGGCCTGCCAGAAATTTACGATCGGAGCTTCGAATCACAGATTTGCCAGAACCACAACTTAGACAAGTAGACAGCTGGGTCACTTACAGGTTCAAATGTTCGCTTTTTATGCCAAAGAGCTTGGTACGCATGGGTACAATGTGTGAAGGCGTCAAAAAGAGTTACTATACACAGAAGCGTTTGAACGAATAAAATGGTTTGGGGACTGCCATTTTGCTGTCCCTTTTCTTGAAATATCATAATGAGTGGATAATTGTTACACTGAATAATCGAGGGTGAAACGTTGCTGGCGAGAATGAAACCGGTTTAATTCGTATTATGTAAGAAAACGTACATGGTCAATCTTCAGACCGATTAAACCCTTTAAATCTTGATAATGATAAAGTGTTGAAATGTGGGTACGTTTCAGACTTAATACTGATTTAACACATCAATTGATGTACTTTTGTCTTGTGTATGGTAGTATACTGTTGAGGCGGTCGGGTAGCCTAGTGGGTAAGGCGTTCGCTCGTCACGCCGAAGACCCGGGTTCGATTCCCGACTTGGGTACAATGTGTGAAGCCAATTTCTGGTGTCCAAGGCCGTGATATTGCTGGAATATTGCTAAAAGCGGCGTAAAACCATACTCACTCGCTCGCTCACTAGTATACTGTGTCGATAGCGGAATAAGCTAAGTGGATCGGAGTTGGCTACTAGCGAGTTCAAGAAGCAGCAGGATTTCAAACTGACGCGGAAGGAAACAAAATAATTGTCTATACTCAGTTAGCCTTACTGTTGTGGAAGTAGTATATGTGAGCTGCACTGGTTGTGGTAACTATGGTAACTATATTCCAGTTTATGCATTCGGAATATCAAACTAACTATGCTGCACGCGAACACATGAAGGAAACATAGATAACTTTGACACCCGTGTGTTAGGCATTTGACCCTAGGAGCAGTTAAACGCCCCCAAAATAGGTGTAGGGAGAGGTTCATAATTATATTGATATTATATTTTATGTTATTATATTAACGTTATCAGAACAGCATAGCCCCGTTATAACGCCCGTTTGTGCCGATCGTCGTTTTGCTGAGCGTTATCAGGAGGGGTTTTCTAGAATCAGGGATACAAAGCAATATCAGATAAGATAAAATATTTGCGATAAAACTCAATCATGATGACTTTTGTAAGATAGCGTCGATAATTTTTTTTATTGGAATGGCTTTTGTGGGATGTTTTTTACATCAAATTGGAAATTCAATGTTGCCGACAGATAGCCATCTTTGGCTATTTTAAAAACCTTCAAAACTCTTCTTCTCCAACACAGAAGCCTGAAGCCAGCTATCTGGCTGGCAGCAGCCATATTGGAAATAAAAAAGAAATGTTTTGTTCCATCCTTCATAAACATCTTCTCAGAAATCACTGGATCCACCACTATTGATACCTAAAGTATGGACCGCCTCCGTGGTCTAGTGGTAGAGCGTCCGCCCGGAGAGCGGAAGGTTCTGGTTTCCATTCCCGGCCGCGTCATTTTAAGACGTTAAAAAATGGTACTTGTTGTTACCCTGTCTGGCGCTCGGCGTTAACGGGCGCTAAAACAAGGACTGGTCGGCTCGGGGTCATGGTATCTCAGTGAGCTAGCACTATAAATCAGCATCAGTCCGGACTAGCACAAGCAGCCACACAAACACACGTATGTCGCTATATAAGTGCAATAATCTTGGACGCGTTAAACATATTTCACCTCACCTCACCTCACCTAAAGTATGACACTTGAAAAGGGTTTTTGTTATGTGACTGTCGTTTTGTTGTGGACATTTTACCAGTTGACATACCCAGGTGAGCTACAGTGCCGTGGACATATTTTTATTTATATTTTATGTACAGTATAAAAGATGCAAGGTGTTACAAATCCTGAAGAAACGTCTCACGTTTATCATTCAGTTACCACCCTGCTCTGTGTGTATTCCCAGGGCCATCCTGCACGTGAACGATGACATCATCCCCATGTCCAGAGAGCTGTGTCCGGGTGCGGAGATGCTGCGCCTACAGACAATGGTAAGCGGTATTTAGGAGATAAACACTGAAATCTCTTACATGTTGTTGGCATTTGATGTCCGGGAAAATCATTTGGCGACGGCGATATATCTGACATACTCACTCATTCGGTATTTGGTATTTCAGGATTAACTTTTCTAACCTAATAAAGAAGACTGCAAAACAGTGTGTCGTTAATGCAAATTTTTGTGTGATCTTTTGGGTTTTTCAGCTCCAAAGTATTTGTAAATAATTAAAATATGTTTTTCAGGCATTTTCCAATCCCAGCCTTTTGCATAACGAGTTCAGTAACAGAGCCTTCAGTCGCCGGGTGTGGAAGGAGGATCTTGGGAAGAAGGTTCTCTGTCGGGAACCCATGTCCCAGGGCTGGTGAGTGCCGCACTTCCTTCTGTAGGGAACCCATGTCCCAGGGCTGGTGAGTGTCTCACTTCCTTCTGTAGGGAACCCTTGTCCCAGGGCTGGTGGGTGCCGCACTTCCTTCTGTAGGGAACCCTTGTCCCAGGGCTGGTGAGTGTCTCACTTCCTTCTGTAGGGAACCCATGTCCCAGGGCTGGTGAGTGCCGCACTTCCTTCTGTAGGGAACCCTTGTCCCAGGGCTGGTGAGTGTCTCACTTCCTTCTGTAGGGAACCCATGTCCCAGGGCTGGTGAGTGCCGCACTTCCTTCTGAGGGGAACCCTTGTCCCAGGGCTGGTGAGTGTCACACTTCCTTCTGTAGGGAACCCATGTCCCAGGGCTGGTGAGTGTCACACTTCCTTCTGTAGGGAACCCATGTCCCAGGGCTGGTGAGTGTCACACTTTCTTCTGTCGGGAACCCATGTCCCAGGGCTGGTGAGTGTCACACTTTCTTCTGTCGGGAACCCATGTCCCAGGGCTGGTGAGTGCCGCACTTCCTTCTGTAGGGAACCCATGTCCCAGGGCTGGTGAGTGCCGCACTTCCTTCTGTAGGGAACCCATGTCCCAGGGCCGGTAAGTGCCGCACTTCCTTCTGTGGGGAACCCATGTCCCAGGGCTGGTGAGTGCCACACTTCCTTCTGTAGGGAACCCATGTCCCAGGGCTGGTGAGTGTCACACTTCCTTCTGTCGGGAACCCATGTCCCAGGGCTGGTGAGTGCCGCACTTCCTTCTGAGGGGAACCCATGTCCCAGGGCCGGTAAGTGCCGCACTTCCTTCTGTGGGGAACCCATGTCCCAGGGCTGGTGAGTGCCACACTTCCTTCTGTAGGGAACCCATGTCCCAGGGCTGGTGAGTGTCACACTTCCTTCTGTTGGGAACCCATGTCCCAGGGCTGGTGAGTGTCACACTTCCTTCTGTCGGGAACCCATGTCCCAGGGCTGGTGAGTGCCGCACTTCCTTCTGAGGGGAACCCTTGTCCCAGGGCTGGTGAGTGTCTCACTTCCTTCTGTGGGGAACCCTTGTCCCAGGGCTGGTGAGTGCCGCACTTCCTTCTGTAGGGAACCCATGTCCCAGGGCTGGTGAGTGCCGCACTTCCTTCTGTAGGGAACCCATGTCCCAGGGCTGGTGAGTGCCGCACTTTTCTTCTGTAGGGAACCCATGTCCCAGGGCTGGTGAGTGCCGCACTTCCTTCTGAGGGGAACCCATGTCCCAGGGCCGGTAAGTGCCGCACTTCCTTCTGTGGGGAACCCATGTCCCAGGGCTGGTGAGTGCCGCACTTCCTTCTGTAGGGAACCCATGTCCCAGGGCTGGTGAGTGTCTCACTTCCTTCTGTGGGTAACCCATGTCCCAGGGCCGGTGAGTGCCGCACTTCCTTCTGTGGGGAACCCATGTCCCAGGGCTGGTGAGTGCCGCACTTCCTTCTGTGGGGAACCCATGTCCCAGGGCCGGTAAGTGCCGCACTTCCTTCTGTGGGGAACCCATGTCCCAGGGCTGGTGAGTGCCGCACTTCCTTCTGTGGGGAACCCATGTCCCAGGGCTGGTGAGTGTCTCACTTCCTTCTGTGGGGAACCCATGTCCCAGGGCTGGTGAGTGTCACACTTCCTTCTGTAGGGAACCCATGTCCCAGGGCTGGTGAGTGTCTCACTTCCTTCTGTAGGGAACCCATGTCCCAGGGCTGGTGAGTGTCACACTTCCTTCTGTAGGGAACCCATGTCCCAGGGCTGGTGAGTGCCACACTTCCTTCTGTGGGGAACCCTTGTCCCAGGGCTGGTGAGTGTCACACTTCCTTCTGTAGGGAACCCATGTCCCAGGGCTGGTGAGTGCCACACTTCCTTCTGTGGGGAACCCATGTCCCAGGGCTGGTGAGTGTCACACTTCCTTCTGTGGGGAACCCATGTCCCAGGGCTGGTGAGTGCCGCACTAACCTCTGGTTTACGAGTGATATACTACGATGTCGTAACGTCTTTTGAACTGGGTCCAAGAGAAGGACTTTGCATAACAATATACACATCTCAAATTATCTAGATCTATGATTTAAAAAATACAACGCCACACTGAATTGATATGTCCGATAAACTGATTAACCGTTTTGTGTGTTAAGGGTATACCGGGAAGTGACGTCAGACGACATCCGGTCGCCCCTCATCCGAGGGGAAGGAAAGAAGGTATCAGGATTTCATGCACCGCGACGACACTTTGTTGTAATCATTGGGGCTACGTGGGTCTTTATATTTGACAGAACCCGTTTAGCGTGGGTTCGAATTCAAGACTCGTCCTAATATAACTGAAACAGTGTTAAAATCCAACTGGTTTTACCTTCAGGCAACCAATGCGTGTCGTACGATGCGACTTAATGGATCCGGTGGTCAGCATCAGGGACTTGGCATCCTTTATATCTCTAGGGATAGCATTTCTAACGTTAGACCTAGTAGCGTAGCCAATCAAAATGGGAAATGCAACTCACGGGCGGGTAATTTGAGATCGCGAGTACCACGGGAATGGATCCCGGGGTTCGTGTAGGTTTGCGAAAATGCGAACCCTGGAGATACAGAGGACGGTGACTTGGTTGATTGCGTGGATTCGTACCCCGATTATTTAGCTGAAATATAGCTGAAATATTGCTGAAATATTGCTGACTTCGACGTCAAACAAAACAAGCAAGAAAAGGTTGTAAAATGAATGACATGTCCATTCTATACTGTTATGTATATAATCAATTGTTAACGGTGCAGCGACGCACAGTAGTGTCGAAACAGGGTAATAATAATGAGTCGAACCTCAAATCCTTTGCTTTTTTTCAACAGTCACGCCTGATGGACACCATCGGTGTCTCGCGCTGTCTAGGTGACCATGACCTTCTCGTGTTTGGCACGGACATCAGGATCAAACCATTCCTCATCCCAAATCCAGAGGTATGGCCCTTGACAACAGGTTGCTTGGAGACGCAACTCGCCCCTTAGCTGCCAGGATCCGCGAATCGTGGGTTCGAATCCCAGATAATAATTCTGGGCTTTTGTTACACGGGTTTCTCAGTTGTCTAAGGCCCTGTAATTCGCTAAGCAGAACCGTCACTCTTAAGCCTACAGAAAACCTTTGTTTCTAGGTTTGACAGTACCATGCCCTAATTCATTGGTTTCAAGTTTTAAACGTCTAAGACCTGCATCACTTCGGCTTCCCCAGAAACCACATGATTTTGGGTTCAATCCCGGTTCGCCCCGATTATGTTTCTAGGTTTGTCAGCACCATATCCGTGCTCGTGGATTTCACCGAAGTGGTAAACGTCCGAGACCTGCATCACTTCGGGCTTTCCTCCCACATCAAGCAGACACGCCGCGATATAACTGGAATAATGTTAAAAGCGGCGTTAAAACCAACTCACTCACTCCCACTTCAAGCTGACACACTGTGACTGAAAAACTCTTCAATGCGCCGTTAAACCAAACCCAGTGTGTCAAATGCCCAATTCTTCTGGAGAAGCTATCAGTTGCTGATATATTTTAAAAGCAGTTATATTTTCGTATATCCTCCCTGTTTTGGACGATCGTGTATGAGTAGAAACAGCACTGCGCATTATCCATGTTCGTTGGTGATGTAAATGCATCCTGACACGTATACTCTGTGTGAACATTAGTTAATAATGCTTTAAGAAGAGGCTGTTTTCAAATGTCACTTTAAGGTGAAGACTTTCAACTTCAACAAGATGTCTCTGACTGAGGATGACGTCCTCATCATGGGAAGCGATGGCTTGTGGGATGTGATGTCGAACGAAGACGCTGTCAGGATCGTCAAGGCAGTTCTGCAAAAGCACACGGCACAAGACCCACTGAGGTATTAAACTGGAAATACAGATTCTAGGACAGATATGAAGTAAAATCACTAGAAAACATATCGTACGATCACTAAAAAACCTCATTTCGTTCCCTAAACATAACTAAGTTTTATATTGTTCATATCTAGATATTGTTCACTCTAGATAGGAATATAGGATTTTAAGTTTTTGCAAGCGTTCGTTTTGTCTCGTCTTAGTAATATGGTAATACCTCCCCCATCTCCAAACTTAAGAAATTTAGATTTGTAACTATCTAACTGCTCCCTAACTAAAGCTTATCCTTAACCCGTGAAGATCCGGGGTAGAATAGGTCTTCTGCAACCCATGCTTGCTGTAAAAGGCGACTAAGCTTGTAAGAGGCGACTCATGTATTCATGTTAAACTGCGGCATGATATCTCAGTGGGCTAGCACTATAAATCGGTATCAGTCCGGACTAGAACAAGCAGCCACACACACACACGTGCATGCGCGTCGCTACATAAGTGCAATAATCTTGGACGCGACGTTAAACGCGACGATAAACCCCATTTCACCTCACCTCACCTTCTCTCCAGGTACACAATAGCAGCCAAAGCCCTGGTAGCCCACTCCCGGGGCATGGTGACTGAAAAGGGCTGGCGTATGGACGACGACGAGGACGCCTCATTCGACGACATCACCGCGTTTGTCATACCCTTGCACCACACGGTCAAGAAGATTGGTACCCGCCTCTGATGGGAGTGGCTGGGCCATAGAGACGTTTACAAAGATATGCCAGTTCTCCCGGACAGGTGGTCAACAGGAAAGTGTTCCCGAAGCTTTACAGCCATGAAATCCAGTCCTCCATGAAACAGTGATGGTGGTGGTTCAACGACGATAGGTCGTTTTTGTCTCACAACGTTATGCCCATGGACGTGCCTTCTTCTAACAACAGAAAGCCTTCCACAATGCCAATAGCATGCATATAGCTTTTAAGCATAATTGAGGTGCTGAAGATGTAACATCGGTATTGTGCTATTTTGGTACACAAAAAAACCTATACCTGAGATAACTCAGACTTAATATTGTGTATACAAATATACCTCATATTCGCATTGAAGATAAGCGTTGGAAAATGAGCTCAAAAGCGTGTGTGCATCTATTGTACGACTCAAGCCACAACGTTGTCTTCTGGTGCTTGTCACACTATATCCTACTTACCGAATACACATGGGGGTGTTATACAGGACCTGATACTGTGCAATAACAGACCTGTGTAACCTTGTATTTATTGCTGTGGCCCTGGACATGTCTATACTGTCAAGATTCAAGACTTTGTTACTGGCTGGAGGGAGTTAGACGGGAATGATGAAAATCCATGATGGACAATTGGTGTGTTGTATTTTACTAACTTCAGTAACGATTTGAAATGTGAATCTCACGGCGAGTTTTCAAGATTAAAGTCGACTTGAGTGAAAGGTGCTGAGTTTAGCGGCATCCCTACACATCGTGACAGGACTAAACTGCTGTTCAAAGCGACCGGAGTTGGCTCACCTCCGAAAATTGATTAGGTAAAACTGCAGTAACGAGGTGGTGGTGGTGGTTGGGGTGGGGAAGGAAAGGGAAAGGGAAGGAATGGGAGAAGAGAAAGGCAAAAATAGAGGATGTGAAAGGATGTGGGCAGAGAAGGAGGAGGTGGAAAGAAAGAAGAAGAGGGAGAAAAGAAAAGGAGGGGAAAGAGGAGGGGAGAGAAGAGGGGAGAAGGAGAAGAAATTAATGTGCCAATCAAGTTCGGTTGTATCAAACTTTTGATGAAAATATCCTTACATTATTAGGGATCTTTAACTTAGAGGTACTTTGGTTAACTAACAGATTATTGTGCGTATATACGTCCGATCAAAACTTTGTATTTTGCACTGAAAACTAAAAATACCCACGTAAATTACGTCATAAAATGAACGTCAGGAGTAATACATTTGGCAATAATAAATATGACTTGCCAAACTTTCGAGTCGAGAGAACTGCTACCACTTGGTAGATGACAGGAAGGAGAATTTGTGGGCCAATCATAGGGGAATACCCTAATTTTAAACTTACAGTATCATTAGCTTTTAACAATTTACTGTGACCCATTTTAATGTCAACACTTGTGTTGTGATTGTCACTTAGTTTTCTGTGTACACGATGCTAAAGGAAAGATTTGTCATCGTTCCCTAACACACTCTGTTTAACCTGGAATATTGCCGACAACATGACAAAAGCATTAACTTACACCCCACCCCACCCCCCCACCCCCCCCCCCACCCCCCCCCCCCCCCCCCACCCCCCCCCCGTGTCGCCTGCTAACTGATGTCGCGATGCCCCCTGTCACACAGTTTGTTACCGAACATGCCTACTCCGATGACGTCCACGTTTGACGTCGCCTGCTTACCGTTCCAGCGATGTCGCGATGCCCTGCAAACTGTTCCAGCGATGTCACGATGCCCTGCAAACTGTTCCAGCGATGTCACGATGCCCTGCAAACTGTTCCAGCGATGTCACAGGCTAAGCAGTGCCAGCGCATGATCCACCATCGGGATACGATGACATGCAGCCAGACAATACACAGAGCCGGACCACCCGATCCTCTTTGGGACAAGCATAGGTTACTTAATGAGGGACATTAGACGTTGACGATGGATGACGTCGAAGTAATCGTCAACGTCGTGAATCCACCTTCAATATGAAGACGGAAATTCCATTCCAGGAAGTCATCGACCGACATCAAAAGGCTGGAAGACCTAAAGTTAGACGTTTATATATGTCACAATTTAATCCCCTTTCTGCACACGACACCAGTGCCACGATAATATAACGTCAACCCAAGAGATCATCCACCGAAATAGGTTCCATTGGGCGTAAAAGGCAAAATAGTGGTTAAAAATATATGAATGGATCACTGAAAATCAGTGATGACACCAGGTGTTCACGAAAAGGACAAGTCTCGTTCTGGGATAAAACAGGGTTCGATGACTACCTTTAAATATGATTTTTTTGTCATGTGCATGTATTATTTATTGTCTCTCCCGGCACCAGGTTTACATCCGTATATTAAATGTATATATAATTATATCATTATAAAACAATACATAGGCATGCTTCAATCACATATTTGTAAGCACATTATGAAAAACAATAAAATATAAATACGAACATATTTGTTTCTACAATGTGATACCGAGGAAATATAATTGGTATTCCTTATTTTAATCAACACCAAGTCCTCGATATTAACTTTGAAAAGGGCGTGGACTGTCCAACCTTATCATAGCAAGTTCGGAAAGAGGAATATTTAAACAAAACGGTGGTCAATGTCCCCTGGTTACTTTTGGTTATGTTTGAGTGAGTGAGTGAGTGAGTGAGTTGGGTTTTAACAGTATTCCAGTTATATCGCGGCGTGTCAGCTTAATGTGGGAGGAAGCCCGAAGTGATGCAAGTCTCAGACGTTTACCACTTCGGTGAAACCCACGAGCATGGGTATGGTGCTGACAAACCTAGAAACATAATCGGGGCGAACCGGGATTCGAACCCACAATCATAGGTTTCTGGCGTGCCAAAGGGACGCAACTCTGCACAGCGAATCGCGTTGCGGTTATGTTTTAAAACATGGTTGTTTGTTTGTTGTTTAACGCCGCACTAAGCAATATTCCAGCTGTATGACGGCGGTCTGTAAATAATCGAGTCTGGACCAGACAATCCAGTGATTAATATCATCAACATCGATCTACGCAATTTGAATCGATGACATGCATCAATCCCAATTGCGTAGATCGATGCTCATCACACATTGTGCCATATCTAAGGGACAAACAAGTTCATATTCGAGCGGGAATATTTTTTTGAGGCAAAGCTTCAGAGTATCCAGTGAACGATTCTTTTTGTGGAATAAACATGAGTGAGTATGGTTTTACGCCGCCTTTAACAATATTCCTGCAAAATCACGGCGGGGGACACCAGAAATGGGCTCTTTATACATTGTACCCATGTCGGGAATCGAACGCTTTAACCGCAAGGCTACTCGACCGCCCAGGTGAAAACATTAGAGAATTATTCCAGCATTGTGGGTAACATAATATTTTTCAAAAAAAATATCCAACAGTCGGGAGTTGAACCAGACATAGCAGAGGCTGGTCAAAATAGCCGCCCAGGACAAAAACATAGTCCTTAATGCCATTTGAAACGGAATCACGAAATATCGTGATGATGTATGTACGATGCTAGCTGCATGTGTGCCAATCAGCCGACAAGGAATATTACTTACAAGAATGAAAAAATTGCAAAGTGCGCTTTTCAAGAAATGTTCATTTTCTTTGCGAACTTTCGCGATATTTCGTGATTCTATTTCAAGTGGCGAGGACTACACACCATAAACTATTCCGTTTACTGGTTGATAGTGGCGATATGTATGATATTTTCATAACGAATACATTTATGTTGATTCAAAGTTTATTTATGCTCCGGAAGAGACCTGTTCTTCCTTTTGAACCTACCGCCTCCGTTGTCTAGAGGTAGGGCGTCCGCCCGGAGAACGGAAGGTCAGGGGTTGAATCCCCGGCCGTGTCATACCAAAATACGTTAAAAGATGGTACGTGTTGTTACCCTGTCCGGCGCTCGGCATTAAGGAGCTAAAACAATGACTGGTCGGCTCGGAGACAGTATTCTGTGTCTGAGTGAGGTATTCATGTTAAACTGCGGCATGGTATCTCAGTGGGCTAGCACTATGAATCGGCATCAGTCCGGACTAGTACAAGCAGCCACACACTCACACACGCGCATGCACGTCGCTATATAAGTGCAATAATCTTGGACGCGACGTTAAACCCAATTTCACCTCACCTTTTGAACCTTGTCCTAGCCAGCCATTTGCAGGTTTCCCAGGTGAAATATCGAAACGTCTGTTACGCAAAACTAACCCTTCCCTTCAATGTGTGAACATGTCAGGCATACTGGGATAAGGAAACTAGTGTGGCAAAATGCACCAGCACTTGCCTGGTGTGAATACAAACATTCACAAAGACATTGAACGATTTCGGAGTAATGCACTGGGGAAGAGTGAGTGAGTTAGGTTTAACGCATCTTCCCGAGGCAAGAGAGTTAACTGACTTTAAAAGTCCAGTGTCCACCCCTGCCGAACAAGGCTGGAATTCCTGGGCTCTATCGTAGCGCCACCAGTGGCTATTACGAGTTATGTCCCTTCTGAGCCTCTCCTTTAGACCAATCAGATTCCACCTCTCGTATCAATTGCATTTGCTTGAAACAAAACAGTGGCGCCCAGTCAAGACGATCTGATCGATAATCAAGGTCTATGTTGTGATAAAACGAGTCTTACATCGCGCAATGCGTGAGCACCTTGATTGAAAAGATTTGGAAAATATCTGTTGACAACGAGTTGGCGGTGCACATGCTTTGCAAATCCTGCAATCCACCGAAATCTGCAGGACAGTTTACGAACCGGATTTCGATTTCGATGCACGATTGTGATTGGACTATGCATAGATTCGTTAGTCCAGCCAACTCCATAATGCCAGCCTAGTTCGGCAAGGGTGGAAACTGGACTTTTGTAGACAGTTAACTCCCTTGCCTCGGGAAGATGGGTTTAACGCCGGTCTGAACAGTATTCCAGTCATATCACGGCGTGTCAGCTTGATGTGGGAGGAAAGTACGGAAGCCTTTTAAGGCTATTTGTTGTTTTCTTGAAATTTCAGGATACTGACTTAAAATTTCAAGATAATATGTTGAAATTTCAAGATAATATGTTGAAATTTCAAGTTATAATATTAAAATTTCAACTTATTATCTTGAAATTTCAAGATCATTATCAAAATAAAATAATAAATGGCTCTACAAGGCTTCCTTAGGAAAGCCAGGTTGCGACCGCAACGTTTACCACTTTATCAGGGTCAACAGGGGTTCCAATCCAGGGACGCAACTCTGCACAGCCAATCGCGGAGTTTCAGACGACAGTTGTAGAGCATCCGCCCGGAGTGCGGAAGGGCGATCCCCGGCTGCGTCATGCCAAAAGAAGTTAAAAGATGGTACTTGTTGTTACCAAGCCTGGTGCGTGACATTAAAGGACTAAATCAAGGACTTGTTGACTCGAAGTCGCTATACTGTGGAATATTGCTAAAAGCGGCATAAAACCATACTCACTCACTCATCATGATCCCCTTCATGGGTGTAAGATGATTCTCAAGATCTGGAACAGCATATGCTCAAGATGGGTAACGTGGAAATTCAGAATAATCCATACCAAGCTGCTGAGTTTCCTTGATAACATTACAATCCCTCTCATTAAATCAATCTGAGAGTAAACAAGTACTAAAATATCTACCGGGTACCCATTTATTGCTGGTGAAACAGTGAGTTTGGGTAACCTGCTTTGAGCAGTTTGTGTGTTGTTTAAGGCTGCACCGAGCAATATATGAAGTGGCCTGTAAAGAATCGTGTCTGGACCAGACAATCCAGTGATTGAAATTATGAGCATTGACCTATGCAATTGGTATACATTGACATGCATCAACAAAGTCAGTAAGCCTGACCACCCAATCTGCCTCTTACAACAAGCATGGGTTGCTTAAGGCCAATTCTAACCCGAGACCTTCACTGGTAATTTGAACAGTATTTCAATTACAACACAGGATGTCAGCTTCATGTGATGCAGGTCTTAGATGTGAGGCACATCCATCTTTCAGAGATTTCACAATCACTGTACTACCCCAACTACCGGGTACCCATTTACAGCTGGGTGAAAGCTCAAATCACACCACTTCCATACAACCACAACCCATCCATTAAAAAACAACAAAACCATACAATCAGATAACTGAACTGGATTTAGTGTACTTTTGCACATACAAATAGCACATATTAATGCACAACATACACATTTATACACAAAACTGAAAAAGTGTAAAAACTCAGATTGTCAATATGAACAATCACTACAGTTTCAGTTGGGAATCAGTAGTACAAATATTACCAGACTGAGGACACTCTGGGTGAAAACATCTAAACAAGTCTAGCTGTTCCTAAGTTCAACATGATTTCACTTGGACTATTCCCAGTCACAAACTCTAGGACCAAACATCCTTGATACAAACTCAGTACCATACAAGCCGACAGGTGACAAGTCAAGATACACATTCTACCATCCAACTCTTCCTGGCCACAAGTCAAAGAGATTAAAGGAAGAAAGTGCAGAAAGTTGTAAGCTGAGAGTTATAAGCAGTCAATGAAGGGCTGATGAAGAAAACAGAAGTTGATGAGGAAGAAGAAACAGACTTGCCAGGGGTGACGCTAACCTCATATCCTAGGAACCAGTGATGCTAACCTCAGATTGGGCTACTTACTTCGAACTGATTGGGACGAACTCATTCATCCTTACAATTCTGCATATACTGCATATCTTGATAATTTTGTGATGTCAGGTGAAATGGGGGCTTCACAATAAACAATCACTATGTAAAGTGAGTTAAAATATTACGGGTCTTGGTCTGCTTAGCCTTACAAAGCTAAAGGACTAGGTCAGCTGGGCTTCACAAACGGATAATCCAGTGGGCATCATTTAGCTGAAGGACTAGGCCCAGTGAGCTCTTCAGAGCTAATAGTCTTTCTAGTGGGCCAAAGGACTTTGACTTTGTGAAGCTGGTGGGATGTACTGGTCCCACAGGGTAAAGTGGGATTGTCTAGTTGGATATAACAAGGCTATTGGACTTTGCCTCCTGAGCTTCATAGATCTTGCCCAGTTACGCATAAGGTAGCTTATGGACATCAAAACAAGGTCTTAACGGGATAAATGGACAACTGGGCTTAATATGACTAACTAAGCTAACTGGGCTAGGTGTATCCCACATTGCATCTCAAGCCTGGTTCAAGGGTACATGTAACCTCACCCCTGTGTGCAGTGACAGATTGTGGACGTGTATCGTGACTTGTGGCATCCCCGACGTGCATCCCGGACGTGCAACCCAGAGGTGCATCCCGGACGTGCATCCCCTGCAGCCTCACTGTGCACATTACAACTACGTTAGTCAAATATTTACAAAACTGAGTGAAGTGCATCACATGTACTTGATGATATTATGTAAACTAACAGAACAATTGAATGAGCTGTGAAGTGAACAATGAATCAACAGCAATGGCTGGCAAATAGGAAAATGGAGTTTTTCAATAATACCATATGAATTAAGGTTAGGAAATTCACAGAATATGAACGGATTTTAGATGGTGTTTTAACAATTGCGTATCATTACATAAATACTGAGAAAGTGTCATTTTATACTGTTTGCAACAGGGTAGCTACACATAAGAGACACATATCTACCTGTTAATCTCATACAACTACTTACAATTATGTTATAATCTGGCATTTGAAAATAGGAAAACGTTTCATAAAATGCCTTTGTTGTATTTTACATTCCTTGAAGGCAAACTAGCAAATTTATATGAACTAATGTGAATATTAACAAACATTCATCTTATGTGAGTGGTCCTGGAAAGGTTACAATAGTTCCCAGCAGCTTGATTCACACAAATCAACAGCAAAACTGTTAACAAATGATTGAAGCAAGAACAATAGTGTAGAAAAAATATGTAAAATTAAAATTTAGGTATTTTTCTTTTAAAATGCACAAATTCCAGATGATTCACAAAGTAAATTGACAAGAAAATAGATCTTCAACCAATAAAATAAATATCCCAAAGTTGCTGAGGATAATAGCCGAAAACAATAAATATTGCCTGGAACACCAACAAAGGGGTTTGCACACTGTACCCATGTGGGGAATCAAACTTGGTCCTTGGCCTGACAAGCAAACACCTGAACATCCGAGCTACCAAACTGCCTGTTCCGTTTAAGCTGACAAGTTGCATTTATCACTGCCTTGAACAGTATTTCATTAAAATAACCAGGTGAGAGAAAGTGAATTTGGTTTAACATTTGCAGGACATAAACGCAATGCCCGATGTGACAACAGGTCTTAGATGTCTACCACATCGGTGATACCAATGAACACGGGTATGGTGACAAACTAAGAACAGTGTCAGGTCGAATCTGAACCAACTCTGCCGATAAACAATCTCAAGTCAGATATTCTACTCCAATACAATATCTCTGTGTTAATACATGAGGACACCTCCCTTTGAGTGAGTGAGTTGGGTTTAATGCCGCTCTTAACAGTATTGCAGTTGTATCACGGCATGTCAGCTTAAGGTGCGAGGAAAGCCCGAGGTGATGTAGGTCTCAGACGTTTACCACTTCGGAGAAACCCACGAGCATGGGTATGGTGCTGACAAACCTAGAAACATAATTGGGACAGGGGTGTCCACAGCAGAGGTGTATCGTATCAGAGTAACAGATCTGATTCAATGAGCTGCTGGGCCACAAGTACCCCCAGTCACCAGTACAAGACCCCTACTGCAACCAACTCTGACCTGACCTGACCTGACCTGACCTGACCTGACCTGCCTAGCCTATGTAGAATATGTCAAAAAGAATCAGCATACAAAGAATAGTGTTGATGTTGATGTTTATGTTGATGTTGCTGCTGCTGCTGATTATATCGTTGATATTACTTTAAGTAGATTTTTCCCTCAGCAATCTGTGATATGATAATCAAGCGTGATATTGAGAAATGGTCTATGCTAATGCATAAGGATTAGTACAAGTGAGCCACTAATATTGACATGAATTCATTAAGTACCGGTACAATCTCAGGATATTGCAAATAAGAGAATCATCCGTAAGCATCCTCCAATCAAGTCTACAGCAGCAAGGTTCATCTGCCATCTTAGTCTACTCCCCCTGAATAAATAACCTGGAGCATGTGGGAATTGATGCAATATTGCTATCCAACAATTAGAACTAAGTTTTGTTCAGAATCATGACTTGAAATGAATTCTTGTTAATGTCTAGTTGATATCTGGATACTCAACGTTAGGTGCCAGCATCTATTCAAAGTCTTGTTTCCATGGCAACTGGGGGGTCAGGGGTCAGGTGCCAGTGTCCAGTCTCAATGTGAATTCTAGATTGACTGTTTACAGAAATACTGTGTAGTACAGATAGTTAGTCCACCAAGCAATCACAGCCCCATTGCCCCAAACACGCATGGTGGAACGTCTTTCTCAATTGATAGGTGGGCATTAGACATTCATGTAGTCCCTCACACGCCTCATTTGGAATAATGAAAGCATGTAAATGACAAGTAAATAAAAAAAAATAAACTCGAAACAATTCTAAATTATTTTGAACAATACACCATGTACACAATCTATAACACTAATTTCTGGCTTTCCTCGAATGCTTCAAATAAGACCACAAGCTTCCTCAAACCCATACCACCAATGACAATATTCATGGACTTTCAAACATGTGTATTGGAACAGATCATTTTCTAGATCCTTCCAACCTGCCATCGTAGCCAAGCTGAAGGACCCATCCTCAAACTTTCCTATTCTAAAATTTCAGAAATCCGGAGCAAAGAATGTCACCATGTTAAAATATTTGTAAATATCAACAGTACTGTGATAAAAATTTCATCAAACATGTTACAGAATTTACATTGCAATAATAAGGTAGAACACAAAATATAATCTTCAATGAAAGAAAAAAAAGTCAAATTACACTATACTAGAATACCACTCACTGCCTGTCTGGAGGAACTATAAGAACCAATCAGATTTCTTGCATGGGTATCTGTTTGCCCAATAAAAATGTATTCCCCAGAGTGTGTGGTGTGTGACTGTGTGTGTGTATGTGGTTTTAACTAATTATTTACATCTCAGCTTCAGGAGCTACATGTTGACACTGAACATATTGAAAAGTAAAGATATTTGAACAAAAAATATTTTGCTCCATGTTTCGAAGCCATGAATTTACTTCCCAGGTCACTTGGACATTTTCCAATACAGTGAAACCGTGTTAATCTGGACAGCACTGTTCCAAGGCTTTCATCTGGATCAACAAAAGTTCTGACTATAAAAAACAAGAGTGAGTTGGGGTTAACGCCACTTCGAACAATATTCCAGTCATATCACGGCATGTCAGCTTGATGTGGGAGGAAAGAACGAAGTGCTGCAGGTTTTACATATTTATGACATTTACTACTTTGGTGAAACACAGTTATGGTGCTGACAAACCTAGAAACATTACCAGGGCAAACCAGGTTTCAAACCCTGCACAGTCAATTTTGGTGCCTTAGACAACTGGGCCACCTGCACATCTGATCATGACAAGATCATGACAAGGTCATGACAAGGTCAGGGCACTTGAAAACTGGCTGCCACACCTCCTTCCTGTATCCTGTGATCCAGAAGAAGATTGAGATCCAAAAACAGGAGTTAACCAGTGAGGGCACCGACTAACAAGGCTTCACTGTACATCATAAATGAACAAAAATACTGAAGTGCAAATAAGATGTCCATTAGAATTCAGTATATCAAGTACAAATCAGGACAAATCTGAAATCATTTCAACCAGACTGAAAAGCTGAATTACCAGATTGGAGGTTCCATATGTCGCATCACATCTAAGCGTATGGCTGCAGCCCTAGCAAAGCCCCAGAACCCAGATTACTCCTTTGAGCCAATCTATCCCAATCTATAATACATCCCTCGATGCACACACCAGAAAATGTAGTGTAACCTTCGCCTCTACGTCAGGGAAAAATGTTCCTCATAAGAAGCATACTTTCAAATCGACATGGTTACCAGGACTTTCTTAGGCGTTACAACATGGCCGCAGCAAAGAAAGACAACTCTTTTTGGATAACCATAACTGGACAACCATGACAAACACAAGACCAGATTTTTAAATGGACAAAATCAAACACTATTACTGCTCAGAAAATGACTGATAAAAGCAACCATGAGAAAAGTTTGGTAATTTTAATTGGAAATCAGCATTCAGACATAAGCATTCACCATTATGTATCATACCATTATTTTGTTATCTTTTAATATTCCGAGCAAAACAATATCTGTTCCTTATGATAAAGTGAGTGGGAGGCACTACCTTAGTAGTGAGCATGGTTAACTGCTGCCCAGCACGATTTGCAGTTATATCACAGCCAGCACTCACCAAAGTGAGATAGGAAGAATATTCTTGATTTACTGTATTGCACAGAATGATCAATGAATGCTTATGTTTAATTACTTCCAATGTGGTCCCACCCCTTCAATCACGACTCAACTAAATATGCAAACATAAACTAGAAAGGGTCACCATGGTTACATCTAACCTAATTACACATTTTCACCAGATTAGAAAGAATACAAAAAAAACAAAACTTTTCCCGGGAATGACTAAATCATTTATAGTCTAACATGCCTGTTCAATGTGAAATGTAACCGTGACAACGGATGAAGGAACGTGGTCAAAGTCAAATTTTGATCTTAAGTATGAACGTGATGGATAACATATGGTATCAATCAGAGATGTTTAAGAATGAATTGCATTAGCAAATGTAAAATGCCATAACGCTGAAGAAAACAATTCAAGTTGTTGCAACGGTCTCATCTCTCAATATTACAGGACAAATGTTACCTGGAAAGGATGATCAGCCCTTTAAATGGATATATTACAATGTATAGAGTTAATAGACACCTATTCTGCGAAGCATATTTCCATCATCATCAACACTTCAAGGGTTTGATATACACTATGTTTCTCCATAAATATGAACACATACGGCTGCTATTTCAAACCAACGAATCAAGCAAGAGGGATGTCGTGATGCCTGGTTCAAGGAAGGGGGATGCCGTGATGCCTGGTTCAAGGAAGGGGGATGCCGTGATGCCTGGTTCAAGGAAGGGGGATGCCAGGTTCAAGCAAGAGGGATGCCGTGATGACTGTTTCAAGGAAGGGGGATGCCAGGCTTAGCTTACATCACACAAATGGCAATAAATCTCCCTTGATGTGTGCAACATGTTTCACAGCCTTGGGTCTGCCTGCTCTGCAAGTCAGACAGTGTTAAGGTTCACACAAAATTCATGTACAGAACAGGGCATTATAAATAGCCTCATTTCAGCTCTTACTGAAAGTAGACACAGGTCACTACTACACCGCACATCAGTTCAACATATTCGTGGGTGATGGAGGAACACATTGTTTACAAACCCAGGAAATAATGATGCAGTTCCATGTTCACAAACAAATGTCATTTGCTCCCCATGTGACTAGAGAGACCTATTTGAAACATCTTTCAGTATGTTCAGTTAACTTTGGGTACACAGAAACCATGGCAGATCAAAACCCGAACTCCGGCCACAGCATCTCGATCATAAAGAGCTGACCACCACTGTTGGTCATTTCGGACCAATGGTCATCACAGCAGTGTTTGAAACTAAGTATTTCAATCCAGAGACCCCTGGAATATTTAACTTTTAACATTAGGCTTTGACAGAGGCCCCTTGATCTTTATGCTTATTTTCGACCACTGCACAGCCTATGAATAAACGAATACCCAGCCTGCATCAAAAACCATTTCATGTACAATTACAAGTCTGCTGGCATCATTTCAACAGATTGTATTCATATCAGACATTTATAGCAAAGCTTACTAGCCCAAAGATATTTTCACTAGACTAGACTAGACTAGACTGATTAAGATGCAGACTATTCCACACCTGCTGTAGGGTTGATCAAATCCCTCACAAAGAATTAAAATAACAAAAATACACCTGTCAGCTTGAAAGAATTCCACTTAAAGTAACCTAATAAACAAGACGAGGAATGAAAAGGCAGGTTCGTAACAGCAGCGATTGAAAAAGAATCAGTCCCTTTTCATCCAGTAACTAAAACATGGTGATCACGGTTATGACTGTGGGTGTGTTGAGATTCTGTCCTGCCATCGGCCATGGTAACAAAAGGGTGAGAACTCTGATGGATGTAAGATGTACTGTGTGGGTGAATGATGCATATCCTGAGCTTGGCGTGCAGTCTTTGTGTAGCGGACATCCGCGTCTCCCGTTCTACAGCCGATTGTTTGCCCGAGCCGATTGTTCCCCAGCGCGGCGTAGGATCAATCCTAGTGTTCTGATTGGTCGGGCAACTGGGGATGATTATGGCCGAAGTACAGCTGCCTTTTACACTACAGTAAATCTCATGACAACATTTATCACACACACTTGGATGTATGTCCACACTCCAGGTGAACCGCTCAGTCATCAGTTACTGGTAACCAGAATGCCTGAAATTCAAAAGCATTTATTGTAAGTATATTTCCTATGCAGAGATTTCTCTATGATTCTTAACTAAGCGCACTTGGCCGGCAAATTGGAAAAATCCTTATTTTGTTCAAAACTGGGACTTTGTAAAAGTTATATATTTTTGTAAAATCAGAGGTATTTTGAGATTGCATTTAATGCAATAATATTAAGCAAAGCATTAAAACCAGTTCCTATTTATTGTTTGTTTGTTTGTTGTTTAACACCAAACTCAGCAATATTCCAGCTATATGATAGCGGTCTAAATAATCAAGTCCGGACCAGACAATACAGTGATTGACATCAAGAACATCTAACCACGCAATCGGGATATGGTGACATGCACCAAGCAAGTCAGCAATCCTGACCATCCGATTCCGTTACTCGCCTCTTACGGCAAGCATGAGATGCTGAAGACCTATTCTCTACCCCGATGTTCACAGGTCTATTTATTGGTCTTGCAATAAGTGAATACAGGTTACTTCTACAAAGCCATAAAATTAGCTATGAGTTATATATATATCAATACTTTGCAACATGAATTGGGAAATGTTTAGTTCCAAATTGGGAGTTGACATTTGCTGAAGACTTGGGGCAGAATAGCAGCCTCTGAGTAAGTCTAGATAGATCTCTGCTATATATATGTTTGTTTGTTTGTTTGAAGTCAGCAATAATCCAGCTACCAAATAATCAAATAAGGAACATAGGCTTACGACAGTTGTAAACGTACGATGACTTTGTGGAATGGGACCTAGGCTGGTGGATAGAATGAGCAACATTCCATGCCACCAGGTCACGATGACCCAATCAAACTTGTCACGGAGCCGGACCAACCGTTTAAATGGAAGCTTTGGACCTATTCTAACGCGATCAGTATGCATGAAAACATGGTCATACTCATAGTGAAGAAGGATGTAGCTATTATCAGTAGTTCTCCATCAGAACAATCAAAACAAATTACTGATCTGCCACGTCTAATAATAGTAGAAGGCACAGGTGACACAGGGGGCCTAGTCGTCTAAGTCGTCCCTTGGGCACACCAGACATCTGTGGTGGCAAGTTCATCTCAGTCGGCCCGGGTGTTTCCAGGTTTGTCAGCACCACAACCGCGCTCGTGGTAAATGCCTGAGACCTGCATCACTTAGGGCTTGCCTCCAACATTAAGCTGGCACACCATGACATAACTGGAATACTACTCAATTACTTCAGTTTACTCAACAGTTTCAACTGTTTTTATGCGGAAAAACCTAAAAAGAAATTTTGTTTTGTTTGTTGTTTAATGTCACACTCTGCATTATTCCTGATGTTCCTAAATGACGGCAGCCTGTCTGGTCTGGGCCAGACGAACAAGGAAACTCAAGGTGACATAGTCATAGACATTTTATTTTGGTAAAACCCAATGATGCAGACATACCAATGATAATCTAAGATTCAAACCCAAGCCCAGCAGATCCAGGCAGGGAAGGGACACAACTCTGTGTAGCAGACAGCCACACCCTAGACCACTGTGCCCCCTGGAGATCAACAAGTCAGTTTGACAGGCACACAGAACTCACCATATTTGTACAAGCTGTGGCAAACATCATGTATTTGGGGTTGAACTGAACATGTTGGATGGGTCCCGGATGATCCCCCAGTAGCTCGGCTATCTTCTTGCCTGTCTCTGTGCTCCAACAATGTATCTTGCCATCCGTTGAACCTGGCCACAAACAGTTTCAGGACATTCAAATCACATTCAAATCAATCACCATCAAGGTTTTAAATATGAACTTAAACAGGAAGTTCCAAATGGATATTGATGTGGATATTTTATGGTCATTTGAGCATCATGGCTTCTTCACACAAAGGGCGACAAACAAGGATAAGATCAAAATTTCCGAATTGAGGCAGTACAAAAATTAAGCATAATCTTTTTGGAATGAGTGAGTATGGTTTTACGCCGCTTTTAGCAATATTCCAGCAATATCACGGCCGGGGACACCACAAATGGGCTTCACACATTGTACCCATGTGGGGAATCCAACCTGGGTCTTTGGCGTGACGAGCGAACGCTTTAACCACTAGACTCCCTCCCCCTTTTTGGAAAGCTGACATGAGTGAGTGAGTATGGTTTTACGCCGCTTTTAGCAATATTCCAGCAATATCACGGCGGGGGACACCAGAAATGGGCTTCACACATTGTACCCATGTCGGGAATCCAACCTGGGTCTTTGGCGTGACGAGCGAACGCTTTAACCACTAGACTCCCTCCCCCTTTTTGGAAAGCTGACATGAACTCAGGGATCCTATATTTAGATTTGATGGTCAAAGTTCACTCAGAATTCACCTGACCTGACCTCCAATGGAAGTTTATCATATATTCAAGCAGGGAGATGTTGGGTTAAAGTAAAAGATCTTATTCTAATGAGATTGCAGAATATTCAAGACATCTCTCATTTCTCAAACCAGTGAGACTTTTGTGGAGGAATACATCAGTGTCAGCATGATAAGAGTGCAGGTACCAGCATGTGAACAGTTATCTGCCTGCAAGACTCAGTGATATATCTAGAATATATATCTAAGTGCTTTGAGCAGGCAAACTGGGGAGAAACATGTTATTTTGCTAAAAATTGGGATATTTTTAAAGTTCTTATTTTCAGAGGTATTTTAAGATCGTATTTCAACACTACATTAAATCTAATAATGTAAACTTAAGCCTCTTCCTCATTTTTGGTCCTGAAATCAGTGGACACCACGACCAAACCATCATATTTGTTAAGACTGTATTGACATGAAATAGGAACTTTTTATTCCCTTTTGGGAAGTTTTTGCTGAAAATTGGTTGAGTCTGGACTAAACAATCCAGTGATTGACATAATGAGCAACGATCCATGCCACCGCAATCAACCAGGCCAGACCACCTGATCCATTAACTCAGCTCCTTCAACCTGCATAGGTTGCTGGGGACCAGTGCTAATGCAATATTCAGTTCAGGATTACGGAGACCTAACCACTAGCATTAATCTTTTACTTTGCTAAATCACTCAAACAAGAAGCCAGAGGTTTGGCCAATTACTCCATGCTTGTAAAATAAGCTGAAATGAGTGGATATATTACGGGGAACCTATTGAAAATCAATCTGCAAATCAAGTTCAACCTGGAAAGCAGCCACTTTTGACTGAGGCTGTGACATGTGAGAACAGCTACCTACCACAGAAGACGTAGCGCGAGTCTGGACTGAAGGAGGCCTCTAAAGGCACCCCCTTTTGGTTGGTGATCCCCTGAAAATAACAACATAGCAATTAGCTGACAGTTCCATACATCATCAATAATTCACAGGTTTGAAGACAATACGTTTCTCCATCCCCCGTGAATACATACTTTTTTGTGCAGCATACGCCATGGGCTTTACAGTCTGCACATTGCTTCAATCTCAGGCAATGGTAGGTAGTGATGTCGCAATTCACCGCTACACTGACGCACCGTCGGCAAACTTTTCATGATATGATGCCCAATACACTTACTTTGGCATCGATTTACATTTAATCCAATAGATTGTCCACGCTTATCTCGCATCGACATCAATAAGCAAGTACAAGGAATTTTTTAAAACTTTTGTGGTCGTCTTTCGGATACGACACTAGCCTGATAAGACTGACCAGCTTTTTCTTGCTGCATGTCATCATACACTACCTAAACTTTGTTTCTTATTTTCTCATACAGAATAGTTAACTTCACTCATAAGACATGTATTAGTCAGTTCCTTATGAGCGAGTTCATGGACTCTATTCCCAGTCTAATGACTGGGTTTTCCGTTGAAAATATCATATATGCAGTATCAAGATATGTACCGTATCGTGGCTTCGGTATTGAGGTATATATTGTATCGTGTAACGCCTGTACCGTGACATCCCTAGTGGTAGGGCTTGCACAAAGGTTACACACAGACTTGGACTCATTTGAATTCATTGCATTAAACACAGCCTCATTTTGTGGTGTACAGAACACAAGTCACAATCAGGAAAATTTAAGTAACGTTGGTCGCTCGGTGGATGTGTGACCGCAAGGCTAAATCACATTTTACGGCTTCGGTCCTGCACCACATGTAGTGCCTCCAGAGATTTTGTTTAAAAACCTGCCTCTGCTCACCAAGCAGTGAGTGGGTGACCGGTATGATGAAATGGTAATGTGACTAAACTTTCTCGTGCTTCTCCCAGGGACTAAAAAATTGAATTTGAGTGCACACTGATCCACTTACATGGGTAATACTGTCTAGCAACTATGAGCACCTTTCCAAGTTGTACGTCAGGCACTTTATAAATGCATATTATATCATATGGGTAAAATGATACATTGGAGCACAAGTGCATCGTGAGTTTTCATGCGATGATACAGTATATGATCCATTTTTTTCTGTATCAATACAAGACGATAGACTTGCTAAAATAAATTACTGACTATTCGTTTAATGACCCCCAATGTTTTTGTCAGTGCGATATTGCAAAATGTGCTGTAATCAGCTTTTCAAGTTCACTAGAAAAAATAGCCGCTACGATCATAGACTTTTCTGTCTACAGATAGCTTTTCCTTTGGAACCTGCTCTGAAATATTTAGTCAAGAGGTTTCCACGTGATTTGGCATAAAAATGTGCATTGCAACACATGTTGTATCATGACCTTGTCATATAGTTTCACCCCTTTCATATCATATATTTATTACCTCACTAAACATAGACATTATCATACCTCCATGTCAGAATGATGAAATCCGATAGGTCCACCTGATCTTGATAAAATACAATATGACGCCTTGGAGAGAAATAAATTTCTTAGCACATTGAATAAATCCCTTATACCCTGCTTCCAATCAAAAAGCCCACTGAGATGACACTGAGATGAACATTATGAAGTTCAGAATATAGCACTATTTAAGAAGAGGAAAGTACCTCTGGAGAAGTCATGTTATTTAACAGCAATTACTTACTGCATATATTTGAAGAGGTGCCCCCTGAAATGCATCAATTAAGCGGAGTACAGATCCGTTCGTTGAGATGAGAATAAGCTTCCCATCAGGGCTAAATTTGAGCTGTGTCCAATCACAGTCCTTGTCTTGTGGCAGCCTGAAGGTTGTGAATGGGCCCTGCAAATAGATCAAATCTGCATCAACACAGATCACGATAATATAGTGAGCACTTGGCAATATTCCAGTTCCATGATAATGACAGCCTGTTTTGTTGGTTTGTTGTTTAATGAGGCACTCAGCAGTTTTTCAGTGTATGATGGCAGTCTGTAAACAATCGAGTCTGCACCAGACAACCCAGTGATTGACATCATGAGCATTTATCTATGCAACTGGGATAAGATGACATGCATCAACCAAGTCAGCGAGTCTGATACAGCATGTAAATAAGATTCTAGACAAGACAAACCAGTGATTGTTATAATGAACAAAGTTCCATGTATAACACACAATCAACTATGTTACCAACCAAATTTAGTAAAATCTAAATATTTTTTACATTTGTATACTTATCCTGCATTACTCCTTAATGCATTCACTGCTTACTTACGACAACTAGAAGAACAGCGCTGCGAAGGTCCTGGGTGAAGAAATAAAGTTGTTGTTCTCAAGTCCCAATCAGTGGCCTTCCGTCGCTGTCCTGTGACCTTGATGACACCTAAGGTCATCTTCACATCACTGCCTGTCGCCCAAGCTCTTAGAAAAACATACTTTTGAGGTTTCTGAAGCCAAAGTGGGGAGGCAAGTCTAACGACGGGTGGGCCTTAAGCGTAGTAATGCAGGATAAGTATACAAATGTAAAAAATATTTAGATTTTACTAAATTTTTTACTTATCCTGCATTACTCCTTAATGCATCTGTATCGGACGGTTTGGAGGTGGGTAAACCTTCAGAATACAGAAACCTCAATAATTCACACACTGGAATACGACACCAGTTGGTCGTTAAACCGTGAAGCGGAAAAGTTCAGACAAAAACGCCATTACGGTAGGGTTGTTCAAAAATCAAAAAGATTGAACATAGGAATTAAAGAGAAATTCCCTATACACGCTTAGTAATAAAGAAAATAATAGCTTTTCAGCTAATTCTTTACTTACTGCGTCATAGAGCCGTCGCTGACAAACAAGATTGTCTAATATTCTTCCACTGGTGGCGACTGAGTGACTGCACATGGAAGTTGACTGGCTCTGTATAGGGCGAATTCATTATTTGCGTCAGGGGTTGGCAATCTGCAGGATAACAACCAGAGGGCCAAACTTCGAACGTCTTCGACATCCTCGAGAGCCCCAACGCGAAGGTTATGACTAACGAAAATATGTGTCGAATCTCCAGAAATATCCTTCCGTGATTATTCCCAAACCACAATTGCCGTGTTGAGCCCTGGTAAGGCTGACACCTTGAGATCTTGAGGGTAATTCGCTCTCGGCGAGTTCCGTTTGATGATCTCGTAGGCCTGAAGGATTACTGCGCGTAACCATAGAGATATGGTGTTTGCGATTATGCGACTAACTTATGTCGTGGACGAACCACGCCTAGTCTTGGATCGTCGAATGAAAACTCGAACTGCTCGCACCGAGCCCAGGAGAACTTCACCATGTACGATTCCCACAATAGTCGATATCGGTGGGATGGTGAAGGAACGGTCGGGTTGGCCTGGTAGTAGATTTTAGCAATAAAATCCCAGCATAACCCTAGATGTCCCGTTCCGTGCGTCCCATGCTCAAAACGGATCCGGGTTGAGTCAATCACATGTAGTTCGCTCACCCGTACCGCCATTGCTAATGCCAAGAGAAACCATTGTTTCCTTGGTGATGTCCAAGCTCCTCACAGCGATAGCCCGTTCGCGGAGCTCTCTATACTATACCGAGAGTGTAACGAAGGTGTCACGCGCTGGGAAGGAGCTTGAAAATGAGGATGCAATGAGGGGCTCGAAGGGGGCCCTCGCAAACCTCGAAGTACCACGTTCAAGTCCCAATCAGGTGGCTGGAACTTGGCCTTCTGATCCTCAAACCGGAATGAGCATAATATGGCCTGTAGTTCCGTGACCTTAATCACACTGTGATTTTCCGGAAACGGCCAACACTAAGATAATTGCAGCCAATTACGTAGTAATGGTGCTACCTTCCAAGTGTTTTTGGGTACGCAATGTAGGAGGTATTCCTCTAGGAATTGTGACGCAATCGTAGGGTCTTGATTCTTTTCTTCCCTGTAAAAAGTCTCAAGTGATCCCCACTTGTCATCGGCGTCTCTTGGAGAGTAACGATGAACTAAAGCTTTAGCTTTGCTGCCCGTGTCGAAATAACCCTTCGCACTTAAACGCCTTTTAAAGACGAACCATGCGTGCAGACGTTGGGTGAGGCAATTTTCTGTTGAGGGTGGATGAGTAGGTTGGACCACTGTGAGAGGGGAAGTGAATTGTTTTAGATTTTTCCGAGCTTGACGAACTACCCTCTCGCCGGTTACCAGGGTGCGACCAAAGGAGAGATCGAGATACCTTGTCTCCTTGATCCCCTGTAGCACCTTGGGAAGTAAAAGTGGTGGCAGAAGAGTGCTAGTTCTTTGCCCTTCCCAAGTGATACTGAACTCGTCCACCGCCCAAGTCTGCGGATCCGGCAACGTCATGAGTTGGTGGCCTAGGCAAGTAATAAACAAGTCAATGTTTGGTTGCCTGAATTCCTGAAGCAGTAACTGGAATGCTTCTGTGAGAAATTTCCACTCGGTGGGAGCCACCCTGTCTGGACGTGATAAAGTATCGGCCAGTATGTTTCTACATCCGGGGATGTGCTGAACTATGAACCTTAGTCACAGCCGATCCACTAGATGGAAGAAATCTGAATGTCCTTAGAAGTGGAGAGTGGGAGTGTGTTGTTCCCCGATTGCACAGGCACCACACCGCAGTGCTGTTGTCTGTGGATATAGCGAGTCGGGCTTACTGTAGTTGATTCTGCCAATGTGATATAGCCAGAATTAAAGCTTCCAACTCCAAGTAGTTTATGTGCCACTTCCATTGTGCGCCGGGCCATAGCCCTGAGCTTATCTGGTCTTGTAAGTGAAGACTCCACCCCTGAAAGGGGACGTCCACAAACAGGTGTGTATTCGGGGTAAACGCGAATAAACAGACTCCGCAGACATTCAGCGCCACAAATTGAGGCAAGGCTCTAGCTTAATCGGTAGAGTGATGGCCTTGAGTGGATCCTGACTCCTGATGTAAGGGTTCAGGAAAAAATTGAATTGGTCGCAGTTGTAAGCAGCCCATGCTAGTTAACTCCTGTGCCGAGGTGATTAACCCTAGCAACACTTGCCACTGGCGAAGTGTGTGTGGTTGGTGTAGAGTAGATGACAAAAGAAGTAGAAACTTGTGCCATCTGTCCCTCGGTACAGATAGGATATCCTGGTCTGTCTTAAACAGGTCTCCTATGAACTGAAGTCAATAGGAAGGAGAATACTCCCGACTTCGCCTCGTTGATTGTCTATCCCAGTTATTGACATGTGTTGATGATACAGTAGATCGCCCTCCATCTACGACTCGAACCAAGTGTTCGTCACGTGTAGATAGTTATTGGCTTCATTACTCCTGTAAATAGCCATAAGTGTCACTGACATGTCAAATGGGAAATACTACCATTGGTAGTGAACCCCAATGAACTGGACCTGAAAAGTCTACGGTTGGGATGGATAGTCGAGACTGATGAATAATCAAACGTTCGTTGAACACAGAGATTGTGGATCATTCTCATCTTGTCTGGGTCCTTCATGAGTACCAGGTACGTGTGAGGATAAAACCCCGGAGTAAAGACTGGGTTGTGAACCCACTCTACAGCTCTTCTTACCAACAGTATGTCTATGTTGGATTTTCCCAATCAAACTGGTCAACGGTGGGGTTATCTCTACCCTTATACGGACACCATGATATAGTGCGATAAGTACGAAATCGTCCTTGAGACTTGTCTCTGCCACTCCCTTTCTCAGTAAGGGAATGCTGGTCTTCCCTGAGAAACTCGCGTCTAGGCTTATAATTCCCTGACTTGCCAGCCCGCTTGGACTTTCCAAGCTTTTTGGGAACTTGACGTGCGTGTCTGCGATCTGTTCGTTGAACAGGGGAGTAGATGATCAAGGTTGACGTAATAGACTGCCCTTGAAACCAGCATCTCAGTTGGAAACGCTATAAAGTCTTGGGTGTAACGGTAATCTCCGTCAGAACGGTCTCAAGATGAATTTTCCTGTGGTCAAACTGACGCTGTAGGAAAAACACCATAATTTGGAAGTGATCTAATCAGATAGGGTTATCCTCTAATAGATTCTGATTAAATGCAAACATTGACGATATTGGTCGCTTAAATCACGGAGCAAATGTGAGTTTTGGAGAAGTCTTCCTCCAATGACCTCGTGGTGTCCCTCTTCTTTACCCTGTTATCAGGGGAAGGCGTTACTGACACGAGATGGTCTGCTTCCCAATCGGGTACATGTGCTAAGCTGATCATGTGCCGGTTACATAACCGAGTACACTGTAAGCCTTGGGCTAACGTCATTGTAGAGACCTTGATTGGTACGCAGACGCTGCGCTCAGCGCAGGTCTGGAATGTTGGAACAGCGCTAAGCTGATCGTGCGACGTTTGCGTAATAGGAGCGCTTTGGGTAGCAGTCAGACGCTGCGCTCGGCACAGGTCTATGCTGGATATGTTGGAACAGCACTAAGCTGATTGTGCGACGTTTGCGTAATAGAAGCGCTTGGGTATCAGTCAGACGCTGCGCTCGGCGCAGGTCTATGCTGGATATGTTGGAACAGCGCTAAGCTGATTGTGCGCCGCTTGCGTAATAGAAGTGCTTGGGTTGTAGTCAAGTGCTGCGCTCGGCGCAGATAAATCAGACACAAAGCTCAAAAGTATTGACTGGATCAAGGCTTGCGTCTAATCTACCCCCATCATAGCATCTTGATATGCTGGTGCTGGTGCTGTCGCCGACGTCACAGATTATCATACATGTATCTGGAAATGTCCGGCGGCTGAAAAAATAGGAGCAGTTACGATACTCACAAAATCCTCCGGTATTGTTGATTTCGGTGGATGGTGTACTTCTGCAATCACAGGCGTCATAATACCTGCCGTAAATAACGGTTGGGTAGTAATGACAGAACCATATGTCATTCGCTATTCTGCGATAGTGACATTCCTCTCGTCTCACGACGGCATAACTGCAAAATATGATTGTGAGTAATCTGCTTTTATATAGTAAACTCGTTGGATTAGAGATTTACACAAAAATTACATTTTGAATTTTGGCGAGCACATCTACGTGCATGCCTATGACCGTGGATAAAGAAGTTTGGGCGATTATTCCACGACAATATGTACACCACGCAAACATAAGTTACGCAATTAACCCATTGAAGAAATGGTACTGAAAGAATGCCGTAGAATTGAACAGTAATCTATCGGCAAAAATACGAATTGCAAGGGTATACAATATTTTTATATACGCAATTCAATGTAAACCAAGGCTATTTACATTTAGAGATTGGAGAGCACATCCGCGCGCAAACCAACCAACGTGGATGATAATCTTTGTAAGGTTTTTTCCACGACAATTAGTACAATGCTCAAAGGTATGTTACGCAATTAAACCCTTGTTGATGAGACAATACTGGAAGAGTGCCGAAGAATTTGAACACTAATCTATCGGCAAATTTATGAGTTGCAAGGGTATACAATATTTTTGTATGCGCAACTCAATGTAAACCAAGGGTATTTATATTTTCATTTAGGGTTTGGAGAGCACATTTGCGCGCAAACCATACAACGTGGATGATAATCTTTGTAAGATTTTCCCATGACAATTAGTACCACAATTACACAATTACGCCATTGTTGATGAGGCGGTACTGGAAGAATGCCATAGAATTGAACAATAATCTATCGGCAAAAACTACAAGTTGCAAGAGTATACAAAGTTCATATACGCAACTCAATGTAAAACCAAAAATACCAACAAAAAACTATTTAATCGCATAAACAAAGGTACGCAATAAAAGAATTGTTGATGAAGCGGGACTGGAAGAAAGCCGTAGATTTGATATTAATCTATCGGCAACCATATTTTTAACGAGTTGAAAAAGTATACAATAATTTTAGTATACGCAACTCACTGTTACGCCAAAGCTAGTAGTATTTAAAAACATAAGAATATGTTATACATACGTAGCTGAGAATTGTAAACAATATGACTACCTTGGCAGGCAAACAATTGTAACACAATTCAAAATGGCGGCGAACAACAATATTTTGGCGGGAAAAAAGACAAGAGTCTTTTCACGCCTAATTAATTCACATAAAACTACACAATCATGGTGAAAGTAATATGAAAAGAATACATCACCCATCGCAGATCAATTTTTAAGATTGTAGACAAACTGAAGGTCTAAAATTAATCCAAAAGGAGAGCTCCGCTTGGACACGTCCTAGCTGTGCTGCGACAAGCAGTGATGTGAAGATGACCTTAGGTGTCATCAAGGTCACAGGACAGCGACGGAAGGCCACTGATTGGGACTTGAGAACAACAACTTTATTTCTTCACCCAGGACCTTCGCAGCGCTGTTCTTCTAGTTGTCGTAAGTAAGCAGTGAATGCATTAAGGAGTAATGCAGGATAAGTAAAAAATTGACCATATTTACATTATTTCTTGCATTGGAAACACATCAAAAGAAGTTTTGACAGGTTTTAAGAAATTTGGTAAGCGAAGATTTACTGGACACAAACTGTTGCATATGATACAGCTGTAAAAACACAAAGTGTCCACATACAATTCGTATCATGCCCCATGTTGCCAGTTGATAGTTAACCCTGTGGGAATTCCGGGTTAGAATGTTTCCCCAGCAATCTATGCTGGTCAAAAAGGCAACTTCATTGACCGGGTACCTTCTCAAACCATCTCAAAACGTTCCCAATGGTCAAGATGAGATTAATCTCAGACCAAAATGGCAACCAACGTTTTTCAGTTACTTTCTACTTCTAAGTTGAATTCATCCCGTTTAATCAGCAAAACATGCTAAAGATCATCCGCTCTATCTCCAGGGCTAGCATTTCAGTAAACCTACACTAGCCCCTGGATGCATTCCTGTGGTTCTCACAATGTTAATTACCCGAAATTGATTTCCATTTGCTAATTTTATTGGCTCTGCTACTAGGTCTGACGTACCAATCACAATGCAAGTTACAAACCAGCCTCAATGTTGGGTTGGCCAGTCATTGGTAATGATTGAGTTTGCGAGAAGGTGAACATTGAAAAACTGACTCACACACACACACAAAGCCCTCAAACATCTTTTTAATAAAAGGATGTCTTCATGTCCTTTAAAACTTGCAGTGGCTCTGGATTCTAGGTAATATGAGTTACCTCCCTAACCCTCTCCCTTCTGTCAACGTTTGATTCGTCTGTAAAATGTTAATGAAAATCAAAGGGAGGTAATTTGCAATGGCAAGATCCACAGGAACGGATCCAGGGGTTAGTGTAGGTTTACTGATATGCGGGCCCTGGAGGCAGAGGATGGCTAGAGATATATGATAATTGCTTCACCGCTCAGTTCTCTCTTACCTTGTCAAATGAGCGAAGATCATACAACTTCACACTTTCAGAATTAATTCCGGCTGCGAAAATTAATCCTTCTGGGTCAAATGCTGCCACAGGTCGCCCAGATAAATGCATCAGTCCCTGAAACAAGGTGTGATCTTATGAAGGTGTGATAACAAAGTATAGCACTTGGACGTAACATCTGAAACAAAGTGATTTGGTGAGTGAGTATGGTTTTACACTGCTTTTAGCAATATTCCAGCAATATCATGGCGGGGGATACCAGAAATGGGCTTTACTCATCGTACCCATGTCCGGAATTGAACCCGGATCTTCGGCGTGACAAGCGAACGCTTTAACCATTAAACCAACCGCCCCGATGTAATTTGGACTTTCATCTGACCAACCAGAGCATCTCTTACCAGAATGAGAAAATGAAAGTCTGAATGTCTTCTCTAATCATGCAACCTCAAACAGGTTTACAAGGGTGCGGTCTGAACAGGTTGTACAGCTGATACTGAATGCTAGCCACTAGGCTGGGACGAGTCCAAATTTACTACCCGGGTACCACTGTAGGTCTCAGGAGATGCCTCAAAATGTCCGATTGGGAACTTTTTTAGCATAGCCCTGGCAAAACATATTTACATACATGTATTAAACAATCTGGTCATTCATACACTGAAGTTGACTTAAGTTATATCTTTATTCAACCATATGAAAAAACAGAAGGAATGGGTGCACAGTCAGAAAGAAAAGAGAACATTAGTGACCTGTAGTGTAACCATAGATTTCTAGATAATTTTAGTCATTAGACAATATATCACATGACTAAGCACGGGTCAGGGTAATCCTGTGGGTACCCGGGTCCTACTCAGCACCCACCCGACCTAGGTACCCGAGTTATTCGTCCCAGCCCTACTAGCCACTGTCCATCTCTCGCTTCAATGTGATAAACATTTAAAACATAAGAGACTTTCCATACTGACCATAGTGCATGGGAAGTATTGCCATACAATCTCGGCCATCTAATAGACATTCCAGAATTTCCTGATGTTCAGTTTTCAAATTTTGAACCAAGAACTATGTCAAAACAATTTTCAAACAATTTTAATGCGGTCTTCCTTTTAAATCATTTTAATTGGTCGATCAAAGATCATTCTGATGTGACCAGCAAGGGGATGTTCTGAGATGTTTTGTGTAGGAGAAGTGAGCACTAAGACAAGATTGTAGTGAGATAGCCTATCACTGCAGCTGTACATTCCCACAAGAGAATTAGTTCAGCAACCTGTCATGGCAGTGCTTGCTTTCCCTAATGTTGAGTGGTTCAAAGCCATTTCTCTAGGCATATAATGATATAGGTACAAAAGATACATGCCCGATATTTGCAGCCTGTATTGGAAGTTGTTCTTTCAGAATACAAAACTACTTGGCGAAACCTTTGAGGCAAGGAACTTGATCATGTTGATAACTTGGATAACATGTGTTATTTTGGTGTTTCTTCATGAGGTATTTCTGCAGGGTTCACTCTAGGAATTTTCTGACATGGGCCCTTTATGTGAAAAATGTCATATATTCCAGAGGTACGTCCATGCAGCACAATATTAAAATGTCCCATTGTATTTGAAAATGTGAAAAAAAATCAAATATAGGGGCTAAAAGCACAAGGCCTCATCCTAGAATTATCCCTGTTTCTGGATTGTATCTTTATTTAATGTATATAAGAAAATATGTTTTCAAACTGCTTTTCACTTTTTTATGTGCCAAGTCTTACGGGCCTGCTTTTGCGCAGGATTTGCAGCCACCTACCTGACAATTTTGCGATCGCAGATCCCACAGACGGATTGTCTTGTCCATGGACCCAGACAAAAAAGTGTCGTCTATGGGGGACATGTTTAATGTCACGACTCTGAAAACAGAAGATAACAAACATAACCACCATTCCAGTTGTCATCCGGTTTGGAGTGCTATAACAGCAGGTGCTCACAAATCTGACTAACAAATTCTGGTAAAACTGATCGACCTTCATCATGTTTGTTTTGTTTGTTTCTTTGTTGTTTAACGCCGCACTCAGCAATATTCCAGCTATATGACAGCGGTCTGTAAATAATCAGGTCTGGACCAGACAATCTAGTGATTGACATCATGTGCATCGATCCACGCAATTTGGACCAATGACATGGAACAACCAAGTCAGTGTACCTGACCACCCAATCCTGTTAGTCGCCTCTTACAAGCAGTTGCCTTTTACAGCAAAGCATGGGTTGCTGAAGACCTATTCCACCTAAGGTCTTCCCGGGTCTCATCATGTTGGTATTTACTTGGCTTATTTGTTAAGTTATAGAACAATTAGCAATACTGAGAGGAATGAGAGTTGGAATCAGGGTTGTAAGGTATACACTATGTTCCTCCATCACCCATCGATACAGAGCCATTATGCAGCGTAGTACTAGTAGTAACACATGTCTATTTTCAGTCAGCTCATGACATGAGGCCATTTATTACTCATGGAAGTCAAATGAACCTAGCTCCATGCATGAACTTTGTGTGAACCCTACCATTGCCTGACAGTAAAGCAATGTGTAGAGCCGATATGACACATGTTCCCCAGGGTTGGGTGTTAACTGACTTAATATGTGTCAAGTTTCCACCCTTGCCGAACTACGCTGGAATTTCTGGGCTCGATCGTAGCGCCACCAGTGGCTATTACGAGTTATGTCCCTTCTATCTCCCCACTACTGACCAATCAGATTCCACCTCTCAAATCGCTTGTATTTGCTTCAAAAAATATGACCGCACCCAGTGAAGACGATCTGATCAATGATCAAATTCTTTATAAAACTGGTTTTACCTCGCGAAGTGCATTAAATCACTTGAGCATCTTGATTAAAACATGAAAAGATTTGGAAAATATCCAAAAATCCAATTGACAGTACACATCCTCAGCAAATCCTCCAATCGAACAAATATGGCATAGTAGTTGCCATGTTTATGAACCGGATGTCATTTTGTTATGTGGTTTTGACTGGACTATGCATAGACTTGTTAGTCCAGCCAAAATAGGACTACATAATTCCAGCCTAATTCAGCAAGGGTGGAAATTGGACTTTAAAGTCAGTTAACTCCCTTGCCTCGGGAAGATGGATACCACAAGACTATTGGTCTCCCTCTTGCTGGATGCAGGCCTTTACTTGATTCGTTGGTTAAATATAGCATATACATGGCATATGTATTCTCATGTGATTCGGGAACATAGTGTTTACAAACCTGGGAAGTATTGATAACGAGCTGGAATATGAGAGATGGCAGTAAGTTGGAAGGAATTAAGTCCCTTGGGCTCATGTCAGGATGCAACACTTGCAAGTCAACATCTCTCTGTAAATATCAGTTATTTTTATAGAAAATGTTGTATACTTACTTTTTTGTGTGCCCTGGGAAATACCTGATGTATTTGTTGTCATGTAACGATAAATACCGTATGGTATCTGAAAAAGAAATTGCCATTAGCTGGTAACTTTTCTGTCGGGCTGGGAGATTTTATCCTCGACCTGCCCGACTGTCTGGCACAAAATTTTAAGCCAACTTACATATTCAGTTTTATCATAACTCCTCGTAGATTCTCAAATAATTGTCAGCATTATTTCAACTGAATCAACATGCAATTTATGATGTTGGAAGGTAACTTTGAAGATGGGCAGGCAACATTTATGGGCCACCTGCCCTACTGTTGGGTTCCAAAATTATTTCAAACACTGCCTACAAACATGTCAGCCTGCACCAAACAATGCAGGAATCGATATTATGAGTAACAACCCACACCATGGGGGTACGAAGACATGCAACAAAACCAAGTCACTGAGCCTGACCACCTCATCCTTTTGGTTAGTGTGGGGGCCTATTCTGACAGAGAACACCTACACTTCCCCCAGTAATGCAACAGCCCACCCACCCCTATCATGCCTATTACTGTCATCTCTGCAACATATCCAATACTGCCCCACCTCAGCTTTGAGCCACTAATAATTAGGTCAAATGGATACTTGATCAAATCGTGATTAATAATGTGCACATGGATCTATATACACATGCTCAGAGGCCGATATTCGGCCTCAAGTATACAGCAAATGTCATTAAAAATTCCCACATTGGAATCAAATATTTCTCAATTCATGTGAATATAGTAAGTGAGTGAGTGAGTATGGTTTTACGCCACTTTTAGCAATATTCCAGCAATATCACGGCAGGGGACACCAGAAATAAATAGGAAGAGGTTTTAATGTTTAGTTTTACATTATTGCATTGATTGTAATATCCAAATAGAATGCTATAAAACGCAAAATTTCAGAAATTTGGAACAAAGCAACAATGTTTTTCACAATTTGCTCGCCAGGGGCCCTTAAGTTTACAATCCTGGATAATCCCTGGTGTATTTTATGGTAGGAGGAGGCACAAGGAGGAGAAACTACAATCAGACCGCCTCTGTAGCCTCGTGGTAGAGCATCTGCCCAATGAATGGAAGGTCAGGGTTCGAACCCAGGGTGTTTCATACCAAAAGACGTTAAAAGGCAGTACTTGTAAACCTGACTGTGTTCGGCACTAAGGGGCTAAAACAAGGACTGGTTGGCTTGGAGTCAGTATACTGTGTCCAAGTGGGATATTCATGTTAAACTGCAGCATGGTATCTCAGTGGGCTAGCATTAAAAAACTGCCATTAGTCTGGACTAGTACATGCAGCCACACACGCATGCATGCCCGTCACAATAAACGTGCAATTGTATTTAATGGGACATTCAACCGAATTTCACATCACCTCACCCACACTAAATGAATCAAAGTACTTTCCAAATAGTATATCAGCATTGCTTACCATCGATTTTGGTTGAACAGTGCAAGGCTGTATTGACTGCATGGGTATAGCGTATCAAGTCCACTCCATATTTTTTGCTGTTCAAGGTCCTTTTAGGTCTGAAATGGAAACACTTCCCTCATAATCTTTGTTAAAGCATACTTCATTGACTATTTTTCAACCAAATATGGGGGCCCAAATATGTAGTAGTGCTGATGTGTGAGTGCATATAACTCAAGCTGGTGTTATGATTGTCTTTTATGCACACTAGCTCACTCAAATGTGTTGTAACCAAGCCAAAATAATGATATTGACTACTGGGATATGTTTTGTTGGACCTGTTGTATTTACCAGCACCAATTCATAACAGTATACTGTTTTCATTACCTTCATTACAAATATATATTTACACCTGTTAAGTCTAACATATTATCCAAACATGTCCATTACTTGAGCCCATAACGCAGAGGCAATTACTCAAATTCAAACTATTGAAACAGGAAGGGGCAGAATTCACACTTTTTTTGTAAATAGGTCACACCATTTTCGTAGTTATAGCCTAAAATTACTATCAAACAGTATAAATATCCACCTCAATTTAATTTCAACGCAATTGGGGAAGATATTGTGGATATAAAAAGAGTCTGTTATGTGAAATACACAGATGTGGACTGTCGAATGTTGAAATCAGAAGTCGGCTACAAGCCCATAAGGTCAGGTGAACTTTCGTTTTTGCAGTTCCCAAACCACTTCTAAAATATTGTTTTTGCATGCATCAATATTGCCTGCCTTTTTCTTCTCGAAATTACATGGTCGCTGGGACAGTAAGCGTTACTAAATATCTAATGTTAACGTGTGATGAAGGGGAATAACATGTAAATAAGGGAGTCAATGAATAGACTATTGTTTTGTCTCGGGGAGAGCCGGTGTCAATTTGTAGTCTTCACTTACGTTCCGTTTAAGCAATCATATATGACAATAGAATCATCGTCACTGCTTGTTATTATTGTTTCGCCATTAGTAGCGAAATCTACACTATTTATTCTATCCGTATTCTCTCTGAATATCTTTGCTACTTTGAAATCAATGACTGTACGATCAGAGAGCTTCATTTTTCCGAGGTAGCATGGCGGGCTACTAACAAGTGCGGACCTGTCCTGTCAATACGTAAATAGGTCATAAAACTGAATATCTGCATATAGTGGGTCCGTAATTTTTTTCATAGGATTTAAATACTTTTCTAGTGAAAACAAACGAGATTGTGGAATTTTTATCTAAAGCAAATGTTTCGTTTTTCTGCGGAGTTATTATCTTACAATCTTACAATCGACACACACTCTACAATACAACAGATTCCTCGGCTTAAACGGGAACTCCCGAAGTGAACAGTGTTGTAACTCCTTTATCCATTCACGTTTTAGTAATATTGGCTGGATATGGAAGTCAGCGAGTTGCAGACGACGAGCATGTCTATGTTGACAACCATAGAAGTGATCAACCAATGTGACTTCTCACGTTTGGATATTTACTGACCACAATGACCATGTTCATGTAAGTCAACATTGACTTATTGTTGTTTTTGGAATTTTGCTGTTTGGGTTTAGAGTTTGTTGTTTTAAAGCTATAAAGACAAAACAGCATGGCCTAGCCACAATTTTGCGAATTTGACATGGAAATGGGAACCATTTAGGCCTAGCTTCAGTTTCAGGCAAGATAACAGTTTCATCTTTGGTCAAATCGTCTTTGTCTGGTATTTAAAATAGGCCAAGTCGACATTCGACATGTGCTTCAGAGATAAGGTGCCTCACCTTGACATTGTCATTGTGAACGTCGTTGATGGGTGAATGTCCATCGCCACCCATCTCGCCATAACATTCTGTAGGGTACACTTTTTAAGATTCTTGTATTTTGGGATTGACTTTGTGCTTATGATGTGTGTATGCCACTATGTGTGTGGGATGGGTGGTGGAGGGGCTGAATGTCACTTATTTAATAAGTTTACAAGGTTTTCTCTGAAAATAAAAAACGATCTAAACATTTCACTCCAAAATGGCATTTTTACCAAGTGCCAACAACAGTTTTTATGTTTGTTTTTTTTTAAACTAAAAGACAGCAACTAGATAATTGTTCATCTTTCAGAATGCTTTAAATATTGGTAGTCATCTTTGGGTGTGGTGTCTTCTACTTTAAAGGGACAGGTGGTAAACAAAAGCCAACAACTTCCAAGCTTACTCCGTTCTGCTCGCCTTATTCCACCAGAGAATTTTCTGCTCCAGTGACCTTACATGGGGAATAAGCTTATCAAGCGACCAGACTGTTCTCTTGTTCATAAACAAACACACTTATTCTGAAATAAGAACAGATGGGCCTAATGCAAGCCTTTCCGTGTGCTTTACATATTGTTGTGCATAATTATATAGACATACTAGTAGAACTGCGACAGTGAGGTGTATGACAGGTCTCTGTGGGGCTGTGACTGCACAGGGAGGATAAATGTGCAAATGGAAATAGTTTTTCACGTTTTAGGATATTTCCTCAATGAAAGTTATGTGTATGTAAATGTGTAGACTCGTCCAAAATGAAACGGATAAAAAACACATGAATGAACTGTTTAAGATGTGACAATGTGAAAGAGGTTCGAGGTTGGCCACAAGGAAGTTCCAGGGTTGGAAGTAAACTCAAGTTCAAACCCTTCCATGCGCACACACAAATGGGCAGTGGGGAAGCCTAGTGGTTAGAGCATTCACTTGTCATGCCAAAGACCTGCAAGTGGGTTTGATTCCCCTCATGGGTACAATGTGTGAAGCCCATTTCTAGTGGCCCCCTCAGTGATATTGTTGGAATATTGCTAGAAGCACAGTAAAACAAAACTCACTCACACACAAGCACTCACACTCACACTCCAGGGCCGTAGTTAACTTTTTTATCCCCCTGGCATATAATGCGGGGGGATATAGCGATCAGCCAGTCTGTCTGTCCGTCTGTCTGTCCGTCCGTAATCATTTCCTTTTCCAGGGCAGAATTCGAAAACCATTCAGTGTATTTGATCGAAACTTGGCAAATCTATCAGGCACATACTGAAGTGGTGCCTTTTGACATTTTGGGATTTTTCTAATTTTTATTTTTTTAAATTTTTATGGAATGAAGTTTGACATAGACTCAATTGGGGATGGGGTTCGTTTCCGGGGCAGAATTCGAAAACCATTCAGTGTATTTGATCGAAACTTGGCAAAGCTATCAGGCACATACTGAAGTGGTGCCTTTTGATATTTTGGGATTTTTCTAATTTTTATTTTTTAAAATTTTTATGGAATGAAGTTTGACATAGACTCAATTTGGGATGGGGTTTATTTCCGGGGCAGAATTTGAAAACCATTCAGTGTATTTGATCGAAACTTGGCAAAGCTATCAGGCACATACTGAAGTGGTGCCTTTTGATATTTTGGGATTTTTCTAATTTTTATTTTTTTAAATTTTTATGGAATGAAGTTGGACATAGACTCAATTGGGGATGGGGTTTATTTCCGGGGCAGAATTTGAAAACCATTCAGTGTATTTGATCGAAACTTGGCAAAGCTATCAGGCACATACTGAAGTGGTGCCTTTTGATATTTTGGGATTTTTCTAATTTTTATTTTTTAAAATTTTTATGGAATGAAGTTTGACATAGACTCAATTTGGGATGGGGTTTGTTTCCAGGCAAGAATTCGAAAACCATTCAGTGGGTAAACAATGTATGCTTCTTAAAGAGCAATCAACTGTTGACTCATTACATACAGAATTGCATATTTACTAGTGGTTACTTTACAGACAGCTGCCGGGGGATATGTCATCTTTCTGATGACTCTTGTTTGACAGGGGGGGGCAAATATTTGTACAAGGATCACTTGTCCCCAACTTGTATTTTCATGATTCAAATAAAACTGTTTTCTAAAAAAAAATCCAGGAGGGAAACTGCCCCCCCCCCCCCCCCCCCCCAGGCTGGCTACGGCACTGCACTCACAATGAGATTCACCAGAGGCTGTCAAGTCGTAAAGACCAATTCCAAGCGGGATGAAGACTCCACTTGAGTTCCTCACTGCTTCCTGACATTTAACTAAGATGGACTAGTTATCCTAATGACTGAGAATGTGTGTTGTTGTGTGTCTAAAAATGTCACATGAATGGGAAATATAAAAAAAAACATCCTTAAAATTAACCTTTTTTAGTGTAAGAATATTAATGTAGGCATGCATCCACCAGACCAAGCAGGACTATACAGATTACATTTCAAGGTTGAAGGTTGTAATTGGAAAAAACTGGTGCATAAATTTGTTTATTGAACACTGTAGGCATTTGTCACAGTAGACTTTTGTACCCTCCAACGATGTTGCTGGATTATTGCTGACTGTTGCTGAAACAACACTCCCTCACTAACTCTCTCTTGTACAATGTTGTAATTGGTTTTCAATACCCCATATAATAATATATATGATGATTTTGTTTATAATTCAAATCCAACTTGAAACATGGCCACCATATTTCTTCATAATTCAGGTGAGCTACAGAGCCTTGTGGCTCTATACTTTTTATATAAAACTGTCTTGTGGTAATGTTACATGAAGGCAGTGATAAAAGGAGGATGCGTGGCTTCTGCAGCCAATCAGATATCATCTTTTTAGAATGATTTGGCTTCATTTCTTCACCACCTTGATTCATAAAAAAACAGAACACAAATATACTATCAACAGAACACCCTTTTGTGTGTGCCCTTGCACTCAGAAACAACAGGGTGTATATAATATCCTGAACAATATAATAGCACAGGTTCACTTTTTTGCATTCAGGACTTGCTGTTTATATTCATATTTGGTTTCGGGGTACAGACAACAGACATGCAAGCTTGAGCGATTCACTCCCGCTTACCGAGAATTTAAAAGCTGTGATGCTTGGTAATTTCACCTGACTTGACTTTCTATGGATGTGTCCTCAGATCATTCTTGCATAGAGGTATCATACAACCTGATTTTGATGAGATGGAACTGACAAAGAAAACAGAGATATATGAAATGTCTTTCTTGGTTTTGCTTCTCCTGCCATCTACAGGCTGGAATATTTCACACAAGAAATCTGTAAACCACAAACATGAAAAAAATAACTCTACATCAGGGTTAGAAACTAACATGTTTAGTCTACTAGTCCTTACAATGATAACATATAGCAAACCACTCTAAAAATGGCAAATTTCTACTCGTCCTTATGATACCTTAACTATTGGGCAGATTGGCAAGGACTACAGGACCAGTGCCAATTTCTAACGCTGTTAACATAGGGAAGTGCACTGTAAAACGTTGAACCTAATTCATACATCTTAGTAAACAATGCTCTCTGTATGGTGAAAAGTATGACTGATAAGGTTTAACATTTGGAGGTTACAGTGGGACAGTTGGAGAGATATTTACTTTAAAACTAGGTTAGGTCACATCTCCACATAGGCCTGTACACACAACAGTCTAGTGTATTAGCAGTCATCAGGTATGCTACACATGGGTAGATGATATATTTGTCTACATATTCTGTTAATTATTAGACAACAGGCTGTCATGCATACCTATTCCTTAAAACCTGTTAACCAAAGTATTTCTGTTTCAGTTGGGGATGTGCATTTTCTTCAACAAGGTTGCTAACTAGGAAGGCATTTAGACAACACGTTGTGTCCCAAATACGTAATATTGACACCCTGTCAAAAACAAGATCTGTGTTGAAGCCAAATATTGCCGGACTTAGGACTAGAACTGTATCTTCAACGCTTGTCCGAAGTTTTGATCAGACAAGAATTATGGAAGCTGATCCAGGAGAAGCAATGGAAGGTGATGCGAGACAAATATTCCAGGCTGCTGTTGAGTCGGTGATGCCGAGACCGATGCTGGAGAGAGAAGTGACGTACAGAAAGGAGACGAGGACTCTGTGTGTGGGGGGCAAGGAGTATCAGCTGCAGAAGAATGTGTTTGTTGTTGGCTTTGGTAAAGCGGTCAGCGGTATGGCGCGAGTTGTGGAGGAAATGCTGGGTGATCACATTGTGAAGGGCATTATTAGCATTCCCATTGGGGCAACAGAGCAGTTAAAGAAGTTAAATAAACAGTAAGTTTGACAAAAGAAATTATTACTTGGTTTTTGGATCTGCTGACCCTTAATTTCACCTACCGTATGTGCAATAAATGTTTTTTTTGCTTCTGCCAAGTCTGTTAAAATATTTCACTGAACAAAAATATTCTTGTCACTGGCACCATGGACACAGACCCATTTTTCAGTTCATACCATTTCTCATTTAAGCATTTTCTCGCTAAACAAAGATCTGAAGACCTCCCATTACAATTTACAGGCATCTTCCCAATGCAAGGGAGTTAGCTTTGAAAAAAATCTATTCAAATTTGCTTCTGAATGAAAAAAATTCTTCAAGGTCTAATAGCTGTACGAGATTGTATGGCAGTAATTCCCACTGACTGTGGACAGTCTCTTCTGTTTCAAAAGTATATCCACTGAAGCGAAAGACAGATGGTTATTTAGTCAGAATATGTCGTAGTAACTATAGTTCGGAATATCCTGTATTAACCTTTTGAAAGTTTGCATGATTAGAGAACACATTCTGACTGTCCCTTTCCCAATCTGGTAAGCAACGCTCTGATTCGCCGGATGAAAGATTCTGACATGGCTCGTAATGGGATGTCCTCCCATCAATGTTAACTGTTGCTGAACTAAGATTGGATTTTAATGAGATTGATGGTTTGTAAGAGGGTATGTGTAATAATTGATACTTTTTCTTACAGTTTCCAGTATTGTTTTGATTTAATAGTTGTCAAACTGCTCATCTAATTTATCTGACCATACCCTATTTACATCAAAGTTTGTATTTGCATGCAAGGTTTCTAAATTTGACCACTAATACTGTTGTGAAGTGATATTATCCTTATTAGAAAGTCGGCAAGTTGACATAGGTGCCATTTCAAGTGTCTGACAAAATTTGCTGACAGAATTAAAGAAAGTATATGGATTTATGACCCTGCTGTCATAGCAACTGATTCAGGACAACCTTTGTCTGAATGGACATTTAATTCCAAAGGCTAATTGTCATGTCGTCATGACGTGAACGTAACTGATACCATTGTATACATTGTGGATGTGACTAGAATCACTCAACTGCCACTCAACTTGAAAGATGCTAATCTATATTAAGCGATTAAGCCATCGTTAATCCTCATCACCTTTGTATTGTACATTTAATGTCAGTCAGCTTGAAGGAGCTGTGCAACAGTGTCACTTCTCATAAATAACTGTCACGTTTATGACTTAATCCATGTGACCATGGCTATATAAGCCTTGGTCCAGATAGACAGAGAGTGAGATATCACCCTTAGTCTAGCTAGGGTTAAGCTATGTGCTCCAAGGCACCAACATCATCACTATTATTATGTGCTGACTCGGCACATGGTGCTTCTTGTATATATCTACCAGTATATTGTATATATTTGTATATGCTGCAAGCTATCAACTCAATGCTGTCACTTCCTACGATTTGTTGTTTAATGTCACACTCAGCAGTATTCAACTTTATGATGGCAGTCTGTAAATAATCAAGTCCAGACCAGACAATCCAGTGGTTGACATCATGAGCATCGATCTACACAATTGGGATCGATGACATGCATCTACCAAGTCACAAAGCCTGACCCCGTTAGTCACCTCTTACAACAAGCATAGTTGCCTATTACAGCAAGCATGGGTTGCTGAAGACCTATTCTACCCCGGATCTTCACGGATGACTTCCTACTGGGAGTCGCTCATGGACCCCTTGTGTACAGGAATAGGCAAACGATCATTATCAACGTAACAAGCATCGCTAACCCATGTGCCAACAGGGTATTACTGCTATAGCCTTACTTGTAATCATCATGACACATTCATACTGTTTTGTAGTATCACTTCTGGTATATATTTTGCATTTTTCATGTTTACAGAGATGTGTGCAAATTTTAAAACATATAAGATACCAAAACATTCTGCTGGAACATCAATGCCTCATCATGCTCATGTTAGTGACATGGTGTCCGAACATTAAAATCAAAGTGCCCTTCATGAATATTGCTTTGTTCTCATTAAAATCTGATCTTTACAGAGAAATGTCATGTCGTAGATCTGATTTTAATGAGAACAAAATAATCTTTATTAAACGCACTTTGACAATGACCACAAGCAGGTCTACCTCTCAGCCATGAAACTTTACTAATCATCTGGGCCCACTTGCACAAAGTGATCTTAGCGCTACGACTATTGTAAGCCTATGTTAAAGTATGGGAGTTAGTGCTAAGATCGCTTTGTGCAAGTGGGCCCTGGTACCTGTTACATGTGATGCCAATATAACATGACGTCATAGAAGGACATATTGGTGGGTAACACTGTCATTCAACTTGGTCTAGATAGGTGAATCCCCAACTGTCATATTTACTGCGTTAGAAATTAGCACTAGTCCTATAGTCCTTGCCAAACTGTCCAATACTTAAGCTATCATAAGGACTAGCAGATATTTGCCAATTTTAAGGGTTTTTCTATATGTTATCATTGTAAGGACTAGTGGACTATAACTGTTAGCTTCTACCCCTGATTTATAGTAGCTACAATGCACAACATACATATTCCTTTCTTATCATGCTTACCGTATTCGACATAATAAGCGCCCCGCTCTAATATGTGCCCAAGGCGATATTTGCTAATATATTGGCTAGTGAACAATTCAAATTCCTTATGATTGATCAATGTACACAAGACTTATTTATTTGTGTATAATACACACTCGTGTGTTATATGCACCCTTAATTATGGACAATTAAATTCTGGAAAAATATATCTGTAGTGTATAATACACACAAACTTTTCTTTTGTATCATTTCAGGCTGTCAGCATAAACCACGAAATTTACGATCTTTCAACTCTGATATTTTTTCACCAAAATTATATTCTAATAAGAGTTCCCTATTTCTAATTTTGGAAGCGCCCTGGGCGCTTATTATGTCAAATACAGTATTAACAATAAGTTAAAATTGTCAATAAGTGATACCAGTAAGATCAGTAAGGGATTAATTGTTTGCCATTTTAACTTCTCAAAAATGTGATATTTGTGTCCTCTGCCCAGTGACATGCTGTTGGAGGCGAGCAGTAAGATCACAGTGTACGAGGGAGCCAAGGATAACCTCCCAGATGAAGACTCTCTCAAGGCTGCTGAAGAAATCCACAAACTGGTGTCAGCATTGGGAAAAGATGACATTCTCATTGTGCTTGTATCAGGTGATTTTACAGTTTAACCATTGTCAATACTTGAGAGGTTTGTATACAAGTCATTCCTCCATCACTCGTGAATACATAAACCTGATATGTGTTGCCGTAATGTCTATCAATAATAAGCTGTTGAAATAAGGCCTTCTTTTACTCAGATGAGTAGTGTTGAGAATTGGTTGTAAAACCATTATTGATGATTGGCTCCCAACCAGTCGTTTATCAAATTAATTGGTAAGCAAAATGTTGCTGTTTGTGAATGTTAAGTTAAAGAAGCACCAGGCACTATAATCATCTATAAATATTGATGAATGACAGTGAAATATATCAGTTTTAAGGCAACTAGGACATGACTTTTAGCCTTGAAAAGTGTGATTATTGCCATGAAAGAGCCTTAATAGGCCATACATTTGGTGGCTCAAGTTTTAATGAGCCATGTTTAACCCAGTGGGTCGTTTTTCCTCCATCTATCCCTAGGTGGCGGATCAGCTCTGCTGCCTACCCCATGTCCCCCTATATCGCTGGGGGAAGAGATGGAGCTGACGCGTCTACTGGCCAGCAAGGGGGCGACCATTCAGGAGCTCAACCTCATCCGCTCCAACATCGAGGTTCTCAAAGGTGGAGGACTTGCTCTGGAAGCCAGACCTGCCTCAGTGAGTGGTGTTCACACTTCTCCATTCTCCTTTGTTTATTTCAAAGTACATATATTTTCCAATTTCTAGGCATCATCTGTTGTCTATTTGATGGTGGTTAGATCCAAAGTCATGATAGTTAGACCTGCCTCAGTTTCTTTAAAAAATGTTTTCCAAATCCTTTCATGTTTTAAGTCAAGGTGCTCGAGTAATCGGATGCACTTCGCAACAATATAGATTTTGATTATTGATTGTCTTGACTGGGCGCATCCAATTCGTTTGAAGCAAATGCAAGTAATATCATAAGCAGAATCTGATTGGTCAATAGGAAGGACATAGACTGGACGTAAGTCAAAATATCCACTAGTGGCGCTACGATTGAGCCACAAAATTAAGGTGGAAACTGAACTTTTAAGGTCAGTTAACTCCCTTGCCTCGGGAAGATGTCCCATTTATTACATAGCTCAAACATTAAGGAATTATATGGTACAGCCAACAATAACACATGTTTCTAAGGCAAGGTAGTTAACTGATGATAAAAGTGCAGTTTCCACCCTTGCTGAACTAGGCTAGAACTTCTGGAGTTATCGTTTGGCTGGCCTAACGAGTCTATACTTAGTCCAATCAATATTGTGTAATTAAATTTAACATCCGGTTTGTATATAAGATTTTGGTTGATTACAGTATCCGCAGAGCATGTTTTCTGTCAACTGGGTGTCGACAGATATTTTCCAAATCTTTTCTTGATTAAAAAATGGTTTGATGCACATCGCGTAAGAATCGTTATATTACAATATAGATCTTGTTAATCAATCAGATCTTCTTGACTGAGCTCTGCCATTTTGTTTGAAGCAAATGCAAGTAATATGAGAGTTTGAATCTGAGGGATTTAGCCACTGTTGGTGCTACAATCGAACCATGAAATTCCAGCCTAGTTCGGCAAGTGTGGAAACAGGACTTTACAGTCAGTTAACTCCCTTGCCTCGGGAAGATGGCAATAACACAGCCTTACGGGTATGTCTTATTGTGTATTGTGGTATTTCAACTTTGACCTATAAATACTGCTGTGGCTACTTATAGTGCCTTTGCAGTCGTGATGGCCCTCTGCAAGGTATGCATGTATCATTGTGTAATTCATCTTCCTGAGGCAAGAGAGTTTACTGACTATAAAAGTCCAGCTTCCACCCTTGCGAACTAGGCTGGGTTTATGGAGTTACATTTTGGCTGGACTAACGAGTCTATGCATAGTCCAATCAAAATCGTGCACCGAAATCGAAATCTGGTTCGTTAACAGTCATGTAGAGTTTGGTCGAGTGCAGGATTTGCAAAGCGAAGTAAGAACTGTTTTATCACAAAATAGATCTTGATGGTCAATCAGATTGTCTTGACTGGGCACCACCATTTTGTTTGAAGCAAATGCATGTGATACAAGAGGTGGAATCTGATTGGTCCATATGAGAGAGGCATAGAATGGACATAACTTGTAATAGCCACTGGCGGCGTTACGATCGAGCCCAGGAATTCCAGCCTAGTTCTGCAAGGGTGGAAACTGGACTTGTAAAGTCAGTTAACGCTCTTGCCTCGGGAAGATGTGTGTAATTGATGAACATGCTGTTACACCTGTATGGCCTTCCTTATCTAATGGGAGTGGTGGGGTATCCTAGTTGAGCTAATGTGTTCGCTCATCACGTCCCATGAAATTTCTTTTGGAACTGCCAGCTTCATCCTGAATTAATTTCAAAAGAACTATCTACTTTTATCTATTTTATGAATATTAATGTATGATGTAGGTATATTAATAGTTCTGAATGTTGCAGGTGATATCTCTCATCCTGTCCGATGTTATTGGAGACCCCCTTGACTTCATTGCCAGCGGTCCCACTTTCTTCAGTGCCACTGATGCCAGCCAGTGCATGCATCTTTTCAAAACATTCAACATTACAGACCAGGTTCCCAAGTCAGTCTTAGAATTCTTGGAGCGACGGAAGAAAGTGAAAAAAATGCCCATAACAGTTGACAGCCCTGATTTTGAACATTGGGCATGGGTTCAGAACCACATTGTTGGAAACAATACCATAGCAACATCTACCGCAGGCAGCACAGCTAGAAACCTGGGTTACCTCCCTTTAGTTTTGTCAACATATTTAAGTGGGGACACCAGAGAAGTTGCAGCCATGTTTGGGAAACTGGCCAAATATGTCCTACTGATATTCAGACGGAACTCTAAAGAATATAACCCTGTGTTGGCAACGCTGGAAGTTGATCTGGTTCGAACAGGAATCAGCAAAGATAAACTGAATGAGGTTGTCACTTTAGTGGAGAAAGGTAAGAATATGCAGAAAGGGGTTTGTATTATAGCAGGAGGGGAGACAACTACCCTGGTGAAGGGCAGTGGCCTTGGAGGAAGGAACCAGGAGATGGCGCTGGCTATTGCTCCATATCTGGCCGCCCTGAAAGGAGACTCTGTGTTCAAGACATATAGTCAGATCTGTTTCCTGAGTGCAGGCACTGATGGACTTGATGGACCCACAGATGCTGCAGGGGCGGTGGTTGATATGGATTTTACCCAAATCCTGGCTGAGGAGGGAATGTCGCTGGACGATTTCTTGCAGAATAATGACTCTTATAATCTGTTTCGTATAGTCCGAAATGGGTCCAATCACATTAAGATTGGCCATACTGGGACGAATGTAATGGACATCCAGATATTGTTGGTGAAGCATTAATTTTAGTGGCAGGATTGATTGTGGTTTTCCAGACTATGTCATGTTTATTCCAGATTATGTCAAAGAGGACAGGGATTTCTTTAGTGTTTGTGTTAGGTCTCAGTTCAGTAATGTTCTTCCCCTAAACTGCCTCTGATGTGTGTGAGTGAGCAGGGTTTTATGCAGATATTTTGGCCAATGTTGTAATGGCATACCCTCTGGTACAAGGGTGTCCCAGTGGTCAAATTCTCTTTGCAGAGTTGGGTCACTTTGGCATACCAATAATTGATGATCATGGGTTCGAATCCCATATGCAACCGCATTATGGCTCTGAAACTGTCCCCATCACACCCATTGAGACAAAGTATCAAGTTATCTGAACTTTGTTTAGGTTTTGTGCAATGTCATTGTCACTAGAATGGACAAGGGCAATTTATTAAGAAAAGAGGAGGATTTTGTCCAATACAGCTTTAGAAATTGGCACTCGTCCTGTAGTCCTTGCCAACTGCCCAATTGTTAAGGTATCACAAGGACTTGTAGAAATTTGCCCTTTTTAAAGGTTTTGCTATATGTTATCATTGTAAGGACTAGTCGGCTGAAACTGTTAGTTTCTGTCGCTGCAATATGATGTAAAAACTGTATAACAAACAACCAATCTCAGTAAGATCCAATCTCTCACTTTATAGGATATCTCTTTGCATGAAGATCTGACAACACCTCCATATAAGGTCGCATCAAGTGAAACCTGAGTGATCTTTGACTGCCCAATGTAAAGAAAGGATGTATGGGTTTTTGAGACAATCAAATCTCAGATTTCTGAAACGATTAAGCTTCATTTCTTTACAACCACGATTCTGAAATTTCCACCAAAAAAGAAGACCACCACAGAATACAATTTGTCCCTCTATTGTAACCCTTTGGGGTGTAGATGCCATGTTGCTCAGAAATGAGAGTATGTATTCCATATCCACAATCAAATAATAGTGTGGATTGATGTTTTTGCATTCAGAATTCCCTGATATTATTTGTTTTCAAGATAAAAAATCAAATATGCTGGTCTCAATGCTACTGCGAATTTCAAAGCCTCAACGATGGTTGGCTGATTAGAACCAATCATCTGATGCGGCCTCCTTTGGAGGATTCATGCAAGGAGGTATCATATCTTTGTGAAAGATCTGATTTTATTGATACTGACAAACAACAAATGTAACCAGTGTATTTAGCATTCTTGTTGAAGTCATGTCTTTGGGAATTGGCAATGACTTATCCTGGATCTGACTGTCAATGGTTTGTGATAATGGTCAGAATCTATGGTGCTATGTTTGTAATCATGTACTTCCGCTGAATATTTTCGGCTAACAAATTTTCAGGGTAAAAAATCCATTGCTAGCTTCCACTCATAAGCATATATATATATACCCAGGAATACATGATAAACATGCAAAAATAAAACAATGATATTAATGTCATCATTATAAATGTTACAGCTAACTTTCGTAATGTACAGTAAAACCTTATCAATTTTGATTGTTTCCAGCAAGAAATGTCCAGATTATTAAATTTGCAGATAAGAAATCATGGTTCGCCTCTATTATGTTTCTAGGTTTGTCGGCACCATACCTGTGGTAAATGTCTGAGACCGGCATCCGGGCTTTCCTCCCACGTTAAGCTGACATGCTGATATAACTGTAACCCTGTTAAAAGCGGTGTTAAACCCAACTCACTCACTCACTCACTCACTCACTCACTCACTCACTCACTCACTCACTCACTCACTCACTCACTCACTCACTCACTCACTCACTCACTCACTCACTCACTCACTCACTCACTCACTCACTCACTCACTCACTCACTCACTCACTCACTCACTCACTCACTCACTCACTCACTCACTCACTCACTCACTCACTCACTCACTCACTCACTCACTCACTCACTCACTCACTCACTCACTCACTCACTCACTCACTCACTCACTCACTCACTCACTCACTCACTCACTCACTCACTCACTCACTCACTCACTCACTCACTCACTCACTCACTCACTCACTCACTCACTCACTCACTCACTCACTCACTCACTCACTCACTCACTCACTCACTCACTCACTCACTCACTCACTCACTCACTCACTCACTCACTCACTCACTCAAGGTCCCACACTTGGCTGGTCAGAGTTGCTTCCTTTATGAGTGCCAGATATGGATGATCCTGGATTTATATCCCAGATTGTTGGTTTGTCAGCATCATATTATCACCCAACTGGTGATTACTGGCAGACAAGTGGTGATTACAGAAATATTTTCGAATTTAACCAGTTTCACTCACTCACTATGACATGCATGGTATACATGGCATCTTTGTAACGATGAAGCCCCTTTCTGCCCCTCTCTAAGGCCCGACTGCCTCCATGGTCTAGCAACCTTCTGGGTTTGATGCCCGGCAGTGTCATACCAAAAGACGTTTACAGATGGCACTTGTTGTTACCCTGTCTGGCGCTCGGCATTAAGGGGCTGAAACAAGGACTGGTCGCCTCGGAGTCAGTATACTGTGAGGTATTCATGTTAAACTGGGGCATGGTATCTGAGTGGGCTAGCACTATAAATCAGTCCCAACTAGTACAAGCTGACACACACGCACGCATTCACACACACACACGTGTATACACGTTGCTACATAAGTGCAATAATCTTGGACGCCACGTTAAACCCCATTTCACCTCACCACTCTTAAAGGGGAAGTGTACACGCAAAAATTACTTTTTATCTTTTTCTAAACAAAACGCAATTTTAGAATTAATTAGTATCTGTGTTTGAAAATATACACTCATTTTTTTCACAGTGAAAGTAGGAAGCTCACAATAGTGTGAAAATGATATGCCGTTATGAGGCCTTCCTTTTTCGAGCTAAACAGGCCTGAGTTATCCCCCTTAGATTATGACGTAATTGGTGCCAATTCAACTGGGTCCCTCTCTATTCTCAACGCAAAAGATATCAAGTACCAGTTTGCGGTAAAACAACATGGCCTACGACACATTCCGGCGCAGTGGTGACTCAGCATAACACTATGCTGGCTGGCATCTGAGACGCTAGAATCACACACCTGTACCTACACCACGTGAAGCGGCTCTAACAAAGCATGATGACGTCATAATGTTTATCAATTGGCACCAATGACGTCATATTGCAAGGGGCATAAGCCATGGTGTTTTTGTTGTGGAAATAGAACACTTGGTAAATGTGAAAAGTATAAATCGTTTTAATGCGAAAAATATGTTAATTAATTGTGATATTTTTATATTTTTGTCTATGACACTTCTAGGTTAACACTTTTAATGTGGAAAAAGTACAAGAAAAATAGGTTCATTTCCGTGTGAACTTGCCCTTTAAGGCCCAGGGCCCCATCAGTGATCTTGGTTGTACCGCCGTTAGTCTATATGGCTCATGGAAATAAGTAATCCGAAAATATATTCACCTGATATTTTCCAAATAACCATTAGGATGTCTGCCAGTAATAATTTTAAAAGGTGTTGGTCTCCGGTCACTGGGCAGCTATGACATATTTGAATGAGGTCATTCAAACAACTTTTTATGCCAACTCAAGTCCACATCCTACATGAATGCAATGTGTGAAGCCCATTCTTGTTGTCCCCCGCCGTGGTAATGTCGGACCAGGGCCAAATCATCAAAGCGGCATTACCATATTCTCCCACAATTTGAAACAGGAGCCACTGGCATACATATACATGGAGACAATTCCGACTACGAGTCTGAACATTCCAAGGGAAATTGGACCTCGTCAAATTGTTCTAAGTTGGTTCGGTTCACGTTTTGGTTCGTGTTTTTAATCGCCATTTAATTGCCCCAGTTTCACCCACGGCACTAATTACAACGTCTAGACCTAGACTGACCATGAGCACCAGACGAAGAGCGCAATCCCACTTGCAGTGTTAGATATATGTATTTCTGAAGGATGATAGAAAAAAATGAAACAGACAAAAAAAGAATAGAGAGATTACTTTCAAGTGCTGTAACTTATTGTAAGTGAATGGATCGTAAAATATCCAGTGTTTCGACATCGACTACGTGGTGCTTCGTAACTGTGGCGACACAAGTATGTAGACTCGGGGTTTTCCATCGAAAATACAGCTTCTGAACGCTAAGCAAGAAGACCACAGGATAGGGCGGCAAATACCCTGAATGTTTTCATTTGATAATTAGTTTACTCTGTACAACAACTAAAGGATATCTAAAGACCACACACGGGTAGAAAATAGGTCTTCAGTAACCCATGCTTGGCGAAAAAGGAGACTAACGGCATCGGGGGGGTCAGGCTCGCTGACTTAGTTGATACATGTCATCGTATCCCATTTGCGTAGATCGATGCTCATGATGTCAATCACTGGATTGTCTGGTCCAGACACGATTATTTACAGAACCGCCCTCATACAGCTGCTATATTGCTGAATGCGGCGTCAAACAAACTTAAAACCAGTCTCGGCTCAGCAGCCTCTCTTCCTGTATTACTGTCATCTTGTCGCTATTAAATCCAAGGAAGGAAAATAGAATTGCGTGTACCAAAAGAAAGTATCTGAATCGGGGCCAAAAAGGAAGAACAGTTCTATGATTAGAACACAAATAAACATGGCAATGTCAAACCTTTGCCTATATACTCAAACGCCGGATATATAGTAGTTCACCACCAAGTGACCGTGGTCTAGTGGCAGAGCGGAAGGCCCGGGGTTCGATCCCCGGCCGCGTGTATACCAAAAGACGTCAAAAGATGGTACTTGTTACCCTGTCTGGCGCTCGGCTGGTCGGCTCGGAGTCGGTATACTGTGTCTGAGTGGGGTATTCATGTTAACCTGCGGCATGGTATCTCAGTGAGCGAGCGCTATAAATCGGCATCAGTCCGGACTAGTACAAGCAGCCACGCAAACAAACACGTACATGCACGTCGCTTTTTAAGTGCAATAATATTCGACGCGGCGTTAAACCCCATTTCACCTCACCTCACCTTCACCAAGTCGTACCTGTTAGCTGTTAAAAACATACAATTCACTCTACAAAGCCGTGTTAAGATTTGTACCAATAAGAAAAGTTTAGGATTCGTTTTCAGTTGGAAAGATCTGTGCCTTCCGATTCCTTTTTTTTTTCGCTATTTCATAGATGTTTATATGAGAAGCAGACGTTGCAGTCTATACACTTGCAGTCCCGATTATAATGGCCAATTATACTTCGTTATTAACGGTATTTACATGATGCTGAAATATAGAGGATAAGATTTCTGGACGGGGCCTTTTGATGTGATAAAGACTGGAAGAAAATCCTAAACTGTCGGCGCAGAAGCAAACGACTAAATAAAAGGAAGCAGATGCTCCTGGTTTGAGGGCCGTTGTCGTGGTTTCCGGCGGTGATAAAATGAAGGCTGGGTTGTGTTTGTTTTGACCGTAAGTATTAACTGGCTAACTGGGGAACGTATCTAATTGCTGGCAAAGACAATTCATCCGACCTGGGAATGGCTGCTGGTGTGTAGCTCGTGATTCAAGGTTGCCGGTAGCTGCACTAATTGCTGCTGGAAGACAAGCTGCGCAATTCGTCTACTAGGTTCGACTACAGCCAATCAGAACCAGTTGTGACTGTGCCGTTTTCGTAGTGAGTCTTCAATGCAGATCGAGAGATATCTGCAGGCTGTGCTTGGATGATATTGTGTAAGATGTTTATGTCATTTAAATGTACATCCATCCAGTTATTAAAACTGACCATGTTTTTCTGTAATTAGTACTTTTTCAACATGATGACTTATGTTTGATGTGCCCACAGATATTTTCAAGTAGGTGACATTTGGCGCGGAACTGGGGGTAGTGTGTTTAGCTTCCTGTACTCGGAAAAGGAGCTGGCTAAGCAAGTCATTTTTTTGTTTTTATTGCTGCTTTAAGACCAGACTGTGCACATGCGTACAGGTAATAGCTGTTAAATGCTTAACTATTTTTCTTTAAAAATATAACGTTATTATAGAAGTCTGTTGGAAAACATTTGGTTGTGTGTAAGCACTAAACTCGCACTAATAAGCCGACAAGAGTGGTCTCCCTTTGCTCATTGGTCGAGAAGACGCTGGATAAGGGACCGGTCCATCCATTCCCCACAAATACACAGGATATATAAGGCTAATTAACTTGCCTGTGGCATCACTTTGTTTATTGTATTCATGATTCGTTTAAGAATTTAACGCCGGCTGTACATAATATTTCCAGCTGTATTACCGCTCATCCAAATGCCAAGGTAGGGTCTCGGCTGTTTAACGAGTGCCAAGCCCCACTCCCCTGAATCCCGAAAACCATCCCGAGTCTCATTGCTCAACCCTGAATCCCGTATACCAAGTACTTAACACAAATATCAAAGGCACTGACAAAAGGGCGTGGCTTGAGGTTTACTTGCTAAAAAAATATCTATAAAAAATTTAAAATATAAAGGAAATATTTACGTGCACCATTATGTTTATTTAAATGTTAAATCTGCGTACCAAATGCGATTGTATTTGCGTCCCGCGTACCACACTGCTGAATCGCTAA